TAAGAGTTCAAAAGTACTGTAACAGTTGTATACTGTGTCAACTTGAGAAATTTAGAAGTTTAAGTCACTCAGCAGGAAGCCAGGGACCTTACTTTATAAATATCCTCAGCCTGTGCAAGGAGAGGCCGGAGGTGGTGTGAATGCTACACGCACCCTGGGGGTTGGTAGCCTGCTTACAATATAAGGGAGGACAACAGGCTTGTTCTCCGCCCCTGCTTTTGCTCTTATTGTTTTTGCTGCCTTCTGCCACCTTTAAATGTTGCCCCTGTGCCATGCCACCCTGCTTTGGAGCTAACTGATTATGAACTGAAACCTCCACAAAACTGTGAGCCAAATAAGCCTGTCCTTCCTTAGTTCTGGTGTTGGGTATTTTGTCTCAGCAATGACAGAAAAGTAACCAAGACAGAACTTGGTACCAGAGAAGTAGGGTCATTGCTATGACTATATCTGACCATGTGGTTCAAAAGCCTTTGGCAGTGGCTTGTGGGACGAGTTTGGGAAGGTTTGGAGATGTTGTCTGAAAGAGCAGCAGTAGAATGCCTCAGCCTGCTCTGAATGGGAGATTCTGGCCAGAGCTCAGAAGACCAGAAGACGGACAGAAATCCTGCCGGTAAAGACCAGGTTCAGGAAGTTTCCGGTGGGAGGAAGGTCTGTATTGGGTGCTGGACTCCAGTGAAATGTCCTATAGCTTGGCAGAAAAGTTTGTCTGCATTTTGCTCCTCCAGAGACTATGACTGAGGCTGAGATTAAGGGCACTTTACTAATCTGCCAGAAGAAATTTTAAGGCAGTGAAATGTTGAGGCTGTGGCACAGCTATTACTGGGAGCTAAAAAAGCTGGATTTATATTGTAAATCAAGAGCAAATAGCTAGGCAGGATGATTTAAAATATGTTTGGCCAGAAAGGAAGTTCTGACAAAGCTGTGAACTAAAGAGATAGAGCTGAGATCTTGACTGCTGAGAAGAAACAGAATAGAAATGAGGGCCTGAGAGCATCACAAGAAGCAGCAAGTTATCACCCTTTTCAGCCTCAAAACTGCAGAAATGAAAGTCTGCTTTGAAGAGAAAGCCACAGAATATCATGTTTTAGAATGCTGGCAGCCACACTATGTTCAAGAATGGTGAAGGAATAGAAAAATTTTTCCTTGGAATTGGATTCAGAGTGCCCAGCAATCCAGGCACTCAACACTACAGCTAAGAGAGGAGAGCCTGGCTAATGCACCAGCTGGCAGCAGACCTTGGCATCATCCATGTGGTACTGGTTTTAAGTACATGTAGAATGTAAGAGTTATGGGATTAAAAAGGCTTCCACCTTGATTTCAGAAGGCCTGGGATACAAGGCAGTGTGCCCCTGAAAGGGTAATGTGTGAAGCTGTGAGGGTGAAGCCAAAGAGGCATTGGACACCCTAAAAATTTGGAAAATCCAGGTAAGTGGATCATCTAAGGAAAGCTGCAAAGAAGGAGCAAAGCAGGCATAGGAGAGAAGCTGTGGGAGCCACAACCACCAGAAATGCCATAGGGGTAGAGTCACAGGAGCTCTGTGCATCTCACAATCTGCCACAGATTGCTTCAGATGCTGGATGTGGAACTCTAGAATTTAATGTTTGCCCTGCTGGATTTTGGACTTATTTTGTTCCCAATCCTTTGTATCCCTTGTTAGTAACTTTTGGAGTGAAAATGCTATCTAGTGCCTGTTGAATGTTGGAAGTGTTTAACTTTGTTTTCATTCACACAGGGGACTGTAGCTGTTTGCTACATCTCAGAAGACTTGGAACTTGAACTTTTCAGCAATGCTGAAACTGTTAGGACTTTGGCAACTGTTGCAGATGGACTAAATGCCTTTTGTATAAGTGAATGTGCATGGGTCTTTGAAGGGTCAGGAGCGAAATGTTATGGTTCTAATATAATATGTTGATAGACAATACTTGTTTTTAAGGATTGTTAAACCTTTATTATAATGTTCAAGTTGTGAATTGATAAGAATATGCATGCCTTTGTATTTGGAAACCAGTTTAAAGAAATGGGTTGGGTTGCCAAATTGACAAGGAGTAGATTGTAATGGTTGATGCACTGTGTCAATTTGGTAAGTTTGGAATTTAAATGAGCCACTCAGCAGGGAACTAGGGTCTTTACTGTGATTTTCAGCCTGTGCAAGAGGAGGGCACAGAGGTGGTGTGAATGTTACACACCCCTAGTGGTGGTGGTAGCCTGATTACAATTTAAAGGAGGACAGAGGCTTATCCTCTAGCCCCCTTTTGCTCTTGCTGTGTTTGTTGTCTTCTTCCACCTTTAAATGTTGTCCCTGTGCCATGCAACCTAGCCTTAGAGCCAGCTGCTTATGGACTGAAACCTCCATAGACTGTGAACTAAATAAAACTTTCTTTCCTTAATTCTGGGAATTGGATATTTTTCTCAGTCACGAGAGAAAAGTAACCAAGACAAGCACCTTCCAGGAGAAGCCTTCCTTAACCAGCTCTATTAACAGCACTCTTGCTTTTCTTATTTTCCTGCAGCACTCCTGTTAATCGCTTTGTTTAAGCTGCCTTATCTTTCCATAAAGTACCTACCATCACTCACACTGTATTCATTATCACTTTGTTTTCTTTCTTTTCCCTTCTCTCTTACTTTGTGAATTTATTGTCTTTTCTATTATAATACAAGGCCATGAAAGAAACTACCTATTTGTGTATTGCTATATTCCAGTGCTAGGAACAGGGTTAGCACTCGATAAATATTTATGGAAGGAATATGTTATTTACCTAAGAATAAATAAAAATAGCAATAGTAGTATAATTTACAGAAATCAGTAATAAAAGCAATTAAAGCTGCCTTATGAGATCATAACAAATAAATTAGCATTCAAACCACCAAATGATACTGAAAACTATGATGTAGTAAGACTCACAAAAATGTCTGTCCTATCTGACCCAGTGATTTCTCTCCTAGAATCCTATTCTTTAAAAAACTTAAAGGAAACCAGCAATGATGGTCATGAAGATTTTTTCCCCCTCTGTGGTGAAATTAAACATTCCCAAAGAAACAAGTGCAATAGAATTTCTACACACAAGTAGAGTACTAAACAGGCAGCTTCTTTTTCATCTCATCAGGAGACGTAAACATAGGAAGGTGTACTGGTGGCCTTTAAGACCCTGCAAGGATCTTACAAGAAACATTTTGTGACTTTAATAAACAATCCATTACTTTTGACTTCGGTATCTGACCTAAAATTCTCGTGACTATTAGGTAAACCTTTTGGGGTATACGTTAGATTTAAGTGCTCATCCATAGCTTGACCAAAAATGGAGCCCTCACTTGACCAATCATCTCGCTAGGAATACAGTAAGCTACCTTATCTCAGTACAATGTTCAGATTTTTTATACCTTAACCAACCTATGTAACTTCCCCACCAATGTACTCCCCCACAATGTACTGACTTACAATTATAATTGCTCTCTCTCTACAAAAATAGTTACATGTCTTTTTGTTTTGATCACTCATGGCAAACTGAATCTGTGATCCAGGCTTAAGTCACTTACCTGTGGCTTAGAATAAACTGTTTTCTCATATTCCATCCAAGCAGAGTTGTTATTCTGTGTTGACACTGTGAATACTTTCTTTTACTGTACCATTCCGAGGCCAAATAAGTGTCTGCTAGCTCTTTAATTTAAAAAAAAAAAAAAAACCTGTACAAAAAGACATGATGACCTCGCGATATACCTCAGGGTAGAACACTTGCCCAGCAGGCAAAAGGCTCTCAGTTCAGTCCCCAGGAAAAAAAAAAAAATATAAGAGATAGATGTTTTTCACATAGTAGATAACATACAGGTGTCAATTGCATTTTCTTTAGAAAAAGTAAGTGATAATGTCTAAAAGAGAAGTTTCAGTAGTGACAAGGATTAGTAAATGGGTCACAAAGATTAGGAAGCATGAAACATTAAGAGAAATGGGACTGAATGGATAATGAATGCAAATTGGAAATTTGGGAACAAGAAGAAAACTGTGAAATGAAGCATTGTTAGAAATGCAAGCAAAGCTCAAGTCATTTTTCTTCTGTTTTTAAATGTAGACTACATGGAATCTGTGGGAAACCAGTTAAGGAAGATTAAGACCTAATTGGTCTCTTCTGTGAGCACAAAGGAGAAAAATATCATCCATGGCTAGTGCATGTTGCAGGTTCTAGAGAAAGCAAGTACAGATGAGCTTAAGTTATTTACCTGAGCATGTATTAATACATGCTATAAGGCAAAATAATTTTGTGTTACTTTAATTGCTTGTACTTGTGTGTGGGTGAATAAAAAGGGGACAAGCCAGAGGCTCGGAGCTCCTCTGTCCTAGAGTCATCAGCTCCCTGGCTGACATTAAACTGACTCTGTGTCTCTTTGTCATTCATCCTTGTTTGGCCTTTGGTTAGGGAAACAAAATCGCAGGACTAGGTCCCTAAAAGTCGCACCTTGGGTGGAGAAAACTGGAGAAGGGGATGGGAAGGGCTTTTTCTCCACCGTGGTACCTGGAGCAGTGACCTGGGACCAGCAGGGCAGATCAGTCTTCTAAAGAAATCCTTATAAAAGGCAAAGGAAAAAGAAATGGCAGTTTTTTTTTTTTAAATGAGAAGGGAGATTTTAAACATTTATATAAGTAAGGGAAAGGAAGGGGCACAGATTATATCTGGGAAGACACACTCATAAAAGTCAGTAAGAGGAGATATCCTACTCACAAGAGATGGAATGCAAAGTACAGAGGAAGAACCAAGAGAAAGTAGTAACCGCTGATAGTTACTGAGTGCTAAGTGTCTCACACAATATGGTTGCTATGGTACATTACCTCTCTCCAAGATAAGGACATATGTAAGAGCTGGGGAGAAAGTGTCCTATCAGTACCGCGAGCCACCTTCTGATAGTGAGTACGCTAACTGGCACTAGGTTCTCAGGACCCAAAGACTGCTGAAGTGATGACTCCCTAGTGAGACACTAGGGTGACAGGGCTCGGCATCCTGACACTCACCTGGAGAGAAGCACCCTGGGAGTTCTTTGTTCCTTAGGCTTAGTTCTTCTTGCTCCAGCTGGGATATCACATTTGGTTTGGAAAGCTGGTGCCCTGCTTGGAAGGAAAGAGATCCAGTGTAGGTTCTGAACTGAGTCTAAAATCCAATCCCAGCATAGTTCTGATCCCTTTTCTTTAGGGGTTTAGTGACAGGAAGGTGTGGTTCATGAAGTTTCCCATTTTCTATTCTCTACAGGAAAAAAAGATCTTTCACCTTGAAATAGGGGATATCAAGTGAATACTCTAAAAACAATACCTATGAGAGTAAGGATTCCAGTCCAAATCCATAAATTTCAGAGGTCACAGGGGATCAAGGGGTACCAAGAAGTAGGTCCTGAATTAGCAGTCCTTACCCAGTGAGACCAGATTCCTGTAGTTCTCCAGCATAACTTTGCCATACAGGTTTCTCTGAGCAGGATCTAGCTGCATCCACTCCTCCCAAGTGAAATCCACAGACACATCCTTGAATGTCACTAACTCCTGAAACTAAAAAGTCCTCCTCAAGAAGGGATTATGCAAAAACAAACAAACCCGCTAAGGGCAGTGAAAAACCAAGAAACAGGAGAGAGAAGGGACAGGATACAGAGATCTAGATGAAAAAAATGTTTTACCCTTCAACATAAATGGAATAGTTGTAACAAAAATAGGCATTAACATGAATGAGTTAGAGCTAAATACATGAAGTGACTTAGGAATCAAGGACAGGAAGAGTAGGTGTACAGGCTTGTGTATAAGTCTTCAGGGGCTAGTGGAGGGACACTACAGTTTAGTGTCCCTCTCTAGATGTCCTCCTAAAGACTCATGCAGTCTTAGGTGGGGTTTCTGGGAGATGACTGGGTCGTGGGGGTGTGATACTCATCAGCAGATTAATGAGCTGATAGTTTAAATGTGATGTTGGGAGGTGAAGCTGGTTGGAGCAGGTAGGTCGGTAGGGGCATGGCCTGGTAAGGTTCAGCCATCTCCCTCCTCCCTTAATTCTGTTTCTTGCTGTCATGCCATGAGCTGTTTCTCCTCTGGAATGCTGCCCTGCTTGGAGCCAACCAAGACTGTAGACTGAAACCTCTATGAAGTGTGCTTTCCTTCTTAGTAGTGGGTGACAAGTATTGTGTCTCTGAAAATGAGAAAGTAACTAAGATACCAACTTAACTTGAAAATGCCATTTCAAATTTGTATCTCCATTGCAGCTTTGTTCTCTAACTTTTAATGGAGGAACTATGACATGCTAAGCATTTAATATCTTTTTAATGAGAACATAAAACCAAATAAATAATTATTAGAAATAACTCACATTTCTACTTAAATTTTGCAGCCTCCCTTTACGTAGTTCAGATACCAACCTACAAGATGACAGCAAAAATATTACTTTATATGTGAGGAATCTGATAATAAAAGATTGACTTACATATTACACATTTGGAACTCAAGTCCAGTGCTATCCACTCCCTATTCTTTGAGACAAGAAGGTGGCCAAGAAAAGAACCCTACTAGCGCCCAGAAAACTAAAGTAAGAAACAGAGAATTTGGAAATGAAGGTCAGGGAAAAAGGGTTTCAAAATAGAAAGTCATGGTCAACAGGAGCAGAAGTGGAACAGGTCAAACGAATGATCACTGAAAAGAACTGCTGGCTCAAAAGTTAGGTAATTTTGGGAAGAAAAAAAAATGGTGGCTTACTAGGAAGCTGGATAGAGAACCTCTCCGGGGAAAACAGCCCAAATGCTAGAATCTAACAACACAGAGAGGGCCAGACGATTGGAGAATGATTCTCAATAACTCAGGAGGAAATCGAAAGAAAAATAAAATTAGGAAGAGGAAGGAAAAGCACAGGTGGAGGGCTGAAGCCCAACAGGCTCACTGAGACCTGTTCTGTGATGTGCTGGGTATGCCATGGAGTCTGACGATTCAAGGTCGTGCAGAAGCCGAGGCTGGCGATAACGCGAGTTGGTGAGTCCTGGGACCTTGGTGGGAGGATGCAGTGCAGTGTGGAGTGGAGCCAAGGTAGAGAGCTTTGTTGGCTCTCGGTGAGTGCTGGAAATTGGGTCCCACAGCATAGAGGCTGACTGGAAGACATCTTGGAATAGGGCAGAGCCTGGTGCTGCAGTGGCGTCAGTCAACTGCCCCGGGCCTAGAGAGGACTGGTGGGAGCAGCTTGGGCTGAACCATACCCCTGGTAGGGAACCAATAGCTAGGGACGAAATTGTTCCGACCCTGTGACCTCCGCCACAGCACAGTGTAAAGTACAGAAGGCAGTCACAGGTTGACTGCCTCAGAGGGGAGGGGCCAACCCACAGCCTGCACACCACCTCAGATATCAGCAAACTGGAGAGAACAGCAAGCCCCAGCCAGCACACTTTAGAAAAACTGTAAGGAATACAGATATGGCCTGAGACCTCCTCCACACATCTGTCTGAAAGAAACCAGAAACATGACAAAAGCAAAAGACAAGACAAAGCCTCCAGCCACTGACCTGGGAAAATAGCCCAAGGGAGATACATACGGAAAAGAACCAGTCCAGCAATCATGCAGTGTTAGCCACAACACCAGCAGACATAAAGAAATACATTCGTAACTTCATAGATGAACTTAAAACTGAAATTCTAACCTAAATGAAACAAGAAATAAAAAGGTTAATTAAAGAAATGCTAAGCCCCTCTCAAGAAAACACAGAGGGAAGAAGGGAGAAACCCAAGAAAGGAAGAGAAACCTTTGGTGAAGAATATAAACAAAATCTAGAATACATGAAACAGATCCAAAGAGACTACCAGGAAACTAAAAACTCCATTGAAAGCTGGCAAAATGCCTCCATTGAAAGCTGGCAAAAGTTAGCCTTTCGAAACTTGAAGAGAGATTTACAATGTGTGATCATGAAAGAAAAGACCTGTTAAAAATAACAAGGAACCAAGAGATAGCAATTCAAAGGCTAGAAGACAACAAGAGGATCTATAACTTAAGAATAAAAAACGTAAGCAAAGAAGCAGGAGTAACCACAAATGAATTACAAAGACTATTCACAGAAATAATTAAGGAAAACTTCCCAAGCATAGGAAAAAGAAATGATATCCAGATAAATGAGGCATACAGGTCTCCAGCCAACTACAACCAAAACAGATCTACACCCAGACATATAATAATCAGGATTCCAGAAATCCACCACAAGAACAGAATATTAAAAGCAGCCAGAGAAAAGAAGCAGATTACCTACAAAGGACAAATCATCAAAATAACAACAGACTTATCAACACAAACTATTAAATCAAGAAGAGTCTGGGGGGAAATAGTCCAAGCCCTGAAAGAAAATAACTTCCAAGCAAGATTACTGTATCTTGAAAATCTCTCTCTCAAAACTAATGGAGAAACAAGATGTTCCAAGACAAACAGGACTGTGGGAGTTCATGGCCACCAACTCAACCCTACAGAAAATACTGAAGGACATTCTAGAGAGAGAGAGAGAGAGAGAGAGAGAGAGAGAGAGAGAGAGAGAGAGAGAGAGAGAGAATACCAGGATTCCAGCAACAGTGGCAGAGAGGCCTCAATAAACAAGGAGGACAGTAGAATGAAGGAGAAAAATGGGACAAATAATAGCAGAAAAATAGAACAGCAATTGAGGCAGAGAAGGTAGGCTATAATTTTTAACATAGGCTAGATACACTAACAAAAAGAAACAGGCTTAACCTACTCCTAACAGAGTAGGTTAGGAGGCATCCATTGAGATGCTCTGAATAGGAAATATATTCAACCTGAAAGAAGGTTAATAAACTGAAAGTCAAAGATGAGAAAACAAAGCTCTAAGTGACAGGGAACCAGAGAGAAATAGGGACAACTCACCCAGCAGCCACAGATAGGTTGGAAAGTTATGACACTTTTGTGCAGTGTAGAACTACAAAGCTAGAAGGAAGGAAAACCCTGTGGCTTTAGTAAGTAAAAGATCAAGCTGAGGGGTAAAAAGGTTTAGCACCACTCAGATAGATAACGGGTTGCCCCTTAATCTAAAAACTAAAGGAGTTAGTGGGACCCAAAATACACAAAGCATCCTGAGAAAGGGAAAGGTGAGGAATTGCCTAAAAAAGGAAGGCAGAGGACATTGTTAATAGAGTATCAGAATTTAAAAGCCACAGTAATCTATCGCTCTCCTTAGTTTGATTTTATTTTGTTCAGGTCAGTCTACTCATACTAGATTTGAGGGCATAGATAGCTATCCCCAACATAGCAGGCTATACCACAGTAACTCTCCTTTATTTCCTATTAACTTAAACTGAAGCCCTGTATTACTTACATTGTCTTACTATGACTGATCTTATTTGAAGCTGGTTTGTTAAACTGCTGTTTTGCTTTGACTGATCTTATTCAAATTTGGTATGCTTGATAACATTGAGTCTAAGAGTAGAGACAACCATGCTGATGATGACAAGATGTAATAACATACCCATTCCGGTTTGATATTAACTGCTTTTGAAGTCCTACAATGTCTCCAAAGTTATGTTTTTATTAAAATAGCTATGTAATGCTATGTTTAATTATTATGTCCGATGATGTGGACAACTCTATTGAAAATAACAAGAGAAAGCATAGTGACTACTGTAGATCACCTAATAGGTTTTATGTCTTTTTCATTTCATGTTTTTTCTAACCATTTGTTTTTTTGTCTTATTACGATCTGTTTTTCCCTATAATACAGAAAGGATAGATATACATGTAGAGATTCACACATGGGAAGAATTTCTAAACAGTTTACAGGAACAGATTATATAATGCACAATGTAATGAACAGATAATCTGAAGAAGAGACACTAAGAAACCCAGTGCTAATTCTGTAACATTATGATATAAAATCTAGCAAAACTATTATTCACTGTTCAGAGTGATATTAGTCTAGTCTTTTAAGTTCAATTTCAGCACACATAACTATAAGGACAGCTACTATGAAGAGAATGAGGGACATTATGGCAGTCACTATTGACTTCCCCAATGTCAGGTCTTGAAGACCCAAAAAGTCTTCATCACCCTGTTATGATTAGATTAGTTCTGTAATGTTCAGTATGTATTCACTGTGTGTGAAGATGGGGACAACTATTTGGAAGAAAACTAGAGACAATAAGACAGATAGTGAAGATCTCCAGTGGACTTGCTTTGAAATCAGTGTTTCTTAAAATTGTTTCCTTATGATCTGTTTTGTTCTGTTTTGGTATGTTTAATCTTACCCTCTTTAAGATATGGGCAATTCTTTTGAAGATAGCAAGAGGCATTACAGTAGCCATTGTTGATCACCTTGTATTTTGTTTTTACATCATATACTATGTCTATTCTTGTTTTAACTGACTCCATTTTGCTTTGTCACATTTGGTTTTATTCTCTTCAAACAAAGTAATAAGAACTGTAGGATTAATAAAACCTAAAATGTGTAATTGTTATTATAAAAAAAGAGAGGAAAAGAAAGTGCTCTAAAGGATGTAACTGCATGTATGTTTAAGTGTATAAAACAGGTAATCCTATTACTAAGTTTTTGTTGGATCATTGAACAGAACTGTTTGCAGTCTCACTGTTTAAATGTCTACTTTGTATGTTTTACTTTTGTAACTTGAACAGCGACTTCTAAGACGACAATATGTAATCTATCAACTAATGATTTCTGTTTTTTTGAAATTCTGTATTTTTTTTTACCTTTTTTCTGCTTTGCCTTTTTTTTCTCTTTAAATAAAATCCTTTATTAAAAAAAAGTTAGGTAATTTCAAGTAAGTGGTGGAGTCAGAAGTGAGCTTACTGCAGATGAAAGAATGAATGAATATAAAGAATCTGTAGCAGTCATAATAAATTACTGGAATTTTTTGATCCAGCAAGAAACAAATCAATAAATAAATAACTGGAATTTTTGTGAAAAAAGTGAGAGACATGTATAGAAATAAGGAAGTAATAAATAATGGAAATGAAATAATAGAAAAGGTCTTGATAATTTAAGGACAGAGAGCATTTTAATATATAAATAGCTAAAGAGAACAAAATGGTGGAGTAAAAACTAGAGAGATGGAAGATAGAGTACAAAATAATTTCAAAAAAAAATATTTATTTTATTTCTAAGACTAGGAATTCTACAGTATTATCAGTCATGTACAGAATTAATTTTCTTTCTTTCCACTTCACTATTTTCTCCTAATTTCAATAGGATGTCTTTATTGTAATCTAATAAATGCTATGACAAACCAACAGCCAATGGCATACTAAATAGTCAAATCTGAAAGCATTCACTAAAATCAGGAACAAGACAAGAATGACCACTATCACCATTCCTGTTCAATACAGTTCTGGAAACAACAGCCAGAGCAATTAGACAAGGGAAAGAAATTCCCAATTTACAGTTATACTATGAAGCTACTACAATAAAAACATCATGGTACTGGCAAAAAACAAAAAACAGACCCAAGTGCTTCCACCAGAAGAAAGCCTCTTTAATAAATGGAACTGAAAAAAACTGGCTTCCCACATATTGAAAATTGAACCTAGACCCGTATCTTTCACTATACAGTAATTAAAATTGAAGTAGATCAAATATCTAAATGTTAAAACAGAAACACTACATCTGTGGAAGAGAATAGGTTTAAAAAAAACTCTTGATAGGTACAACTTTTAATCTATGGCAAAGACTTTATGAACAAAACCCCAAATACATAGGAAATATTACAAAGAATCATCAATTGGGAATGCACCAAATTAAAAAGCTTTTGGACAGTAAAATAAACCATCAACAGAGTGAAGGGACAACATATGGAATGGGAAAAAAAATTTGTCAGCTGTTCCTCAGACAAAGGGGTAACATCTAGAACAAAGAACTCAAAAAAAACCAGAATCACCCCTCTCCAAAAAAATTTAAAGTCCCAGTACAAATTGGGCATCACAAATGAATTGACATCTCCCAAATAAAGATGTACTAACAGCAAATGAATACATGAAAAAATCTCTGGTTATTTGGGAAATGCAAGTTAAAATAATCCTGAGATTCTATCTCACTGAAAAAGAATGGCTATTGTTAAAAATAAAAAACAAATGCTGGCGAGGCTTTGGGGGAAAAAAGGAACACTTACATTGCTGGTGGGAATGGAAACTGATATAACCATTATGGAAACCAGTATGGAGATTCCTCAAAAAACTAAAACTAGAAGTTCTGTCTGACCCAGGTTTTTCCCTCCTAGTTATCTTCCCAAAAGAGTGAGAAGCATCACAGATGCATACCTATGTTTATAGCAGCACAATTTATAATAGCTAAATCTTGGAGACAGTCTTATGCCTATCAACAGATGAATGGATAAAAATAAGTGTGTTTATATACAACAGAGTACTACTCCGCCATAAAGGATAAACTTGAGACTTCAGCAGAAAAATGGATGCAACTTTGAGGCCATAACTTTAAGTCAAATAAATCAGACACACAGGTTTAATTATCACATATTCCTCTTATCTGAGAAACCTAAAGGGTGAATAAGCATAATGGATGACAGTTATTGGGAAATATGAGAAGGGGAACAAGGAGGATGAATGGAAGGAGGGAAAAGAAAAAAAGAAGAGAAGAAAAAGATGGAAACAAAGCTTTTGTGACTAGGGAGGGGACGAAGAGTTGAAGGGAGGGGAGGAGACTGGGGCAAAAAGAATCAAGATATATTACACATAGATAAAAATGCTCCACAATAAATGTAATCAATGTGTATGAAAAACATGCACTAATAAAAAAAAGTTGAAAAAGATAGAGACAAGATATGGCAGACTCATAAATACAAAGCAGAGAGGACAGCAGGTGAATATCAAGCAATGCAGAATACAAGCAGAAATAAGACAAATCTCTTTAAGATGGTATTATATCAGAAATAAGAGATTCCCTTTCATTAAACATTTACTTTTGTCAATTGTCTTGTTAGCTAAATACATGAGACAAAAGTTAAAAAGCCTGAAGTCAGACTGCTATGTGCATTCACCTTCAAAGCCCCAAGCTCTCATCACCTTGCCTCAGAAACTAGTATGCCACAAAGCATCTCTCATCACTGAGGTTCCTGTGCTGGCCACAGGGTAACTGCAGAAAGGCACAGGACTTTTAAAGGTTAAGTGAAACTGGGAAACATGAGTCATAGAATGTGTTTGCTGTTATCCCATAAACTGCTGTTTCCCTTTTACCTTCTTCCTAGTCTGAGGTCTTTACCCCCAGTCCACTCCAGGTTCATATTAAGCAGACTCTTATACAAAAGTTTCACAGGTTTGCCTTACTTATGCAAATCGCTCTTAAAACCAGAAACAAACTTTTTGATACCATCATTCTTCCAAAAGATTTATACATCAAATGAAATAAATTAGGCTATCTCAACTCATAAAAAAATCTATTAAAGTGATGAAGTTTTAGGCACCATAGCAGCAAAAGGTCTTCAGACATATACTTGCCAGTCCAAATCATTTTGCTTCACAAAATCCCAATCAGTTAAATCTCAATCATAACAGGAATTAAAAGTGAACCACCTAAGAATACACTTATTATTAGAAAATATGTAAGCTCTTTCTGATCAGTCTATAAAAACCTAACAAAGGCCACAATGAAAATATGAACTGAGCAAAGAACAATTTTGTTACTTAATAAGAGGAATAAATATTGTAACTGTAGTAGTCTTCTTCAAATATCTACTTGAAATTCAAATCAGAATGGCATATTCTTACATTTTTATTGTTATTGTTGAAAGTTGGTAATAGATGATAAAATTTGACTGGAAGACTAAATGTATAACAACAATAACTAAAATTCTGCAGAGAAAACTGAGGAGAGATTTGCCTTACAGAATAAAATAAATTCTAAAATAACAAAATAGCTGGGGACTTAGCTCAGCGGCATAAGTGCCTGCCTTACAAGCACTAGGTTGTGAGTTCGACTCCCAGTACCAAAATAAATAAATAAATAAATACAGAATAGTAAGACACAACAAAATACAACTACAGAGGCCACGGATTAAGCTCAGTGGTGTGAAGTGCCTGCCTTGCAAGTGCAACATCATGTGCTGTGCCATGCTGTGATCCTAAATACAACTACAGGATAGAACCTAGAAACGTAAGCTATCATATAATATAAATTAGGTACACAGAAATTCAGTACATTATAAAGGTTGCATTTTAAACCTATGGAGAATGAATATATTACTCAATAGATGATCCTGGCTCAAACGTCATCTCAGGTGCACTCCTGCTCTCCTCTAAAGAGGCCTCCTAGTGTGCTCCAGCACATGGTTCTCCCAGCTCAGGTAATCATCCTCAAGTCTCAACATTTTCTCTCTACAGTCTGTTTCCCTAACAAGAAGGTAAGATCACAACCTGACCATTCTATTCACTGCTGCCTTCTCATTCCCCAGGACCCTGTCCCACACATGGTAGTAGGTGCTGAATATTTGTTTAATGAATAGATGGAAAGATGGATGAAATGGCCCACATCATATTGACTATGTAGGGTTAGGGTTAGGGTTAAGGGCAATTTTAAGTGTAAAAAGAAACTTTTAAAACTTACATTTTTAACATTATTTAAAGATGGGACTGGAATGCACAGCCTATTCCCACAACTAGAAAATTAAAAAACCCAGCTAAGCTTGACATTCCCTATGCCAGTTGCAACTTGTAAGGTAAGTGTAACTCAACCAGACCGTGCATCTGATTTTTTTTTTTTTTTTTTGCTTGTTTTCAACTTTTTCTTGAAGGACAGCTTGGCTCAGTCTCAGACAAGGGTTGATTCTTCAGGCTCACCATAACCTAGACCTCTTTGTTAACTCCAATTAGCTTATATAACATAAATTTTGCCGACTAACATATGACATGCGTAACCAACTATAAAATATCTTGTTATCTGCCTTTTCTATTTCTTTCTGAAAACACTACATAAGCAACTATTTTACCCCAAGACAGGGCTGATAATGTGAAACTGAGATTACCATCAGCCTGCTAGTGTAATAAAACTGTCTGCATTCCAAAGTTCCTTGGTGCCATGTCTTCCATCTGGTCTGGTCCTGAGTTCCGCAGCAACTGAAGTGAGATCTCCGATTCAAAGTACATACAAGAAATTACAGACAGCCCAAGGGTATAAATTAAAAATTATAAGAGTAATAGAGAACAAAGAAAATATATATAATCTTGGAGTGTACAAAGCCTTCATAGCTAGGACTCCTTAGCCAAAGGAAAATAAATATAACTCCACAAAACTCATTTGTAGCAGACATGATAAACAAATTTAAAAGAAAAATGTCATAATATAGGCAATTTATGGAAAGCATTACTATCCACATTATACAAAAGGTCTCATTTGTATAAAAATAACCCAAATGGCAAAGGAGGTAGAATGGTATTTTAAACAGTTAGAAGAAAGTATATCATAGTTGCTTCTGAGGTTTGGAGATTTAGAATTTTATGTTATAACCTTTAAAGTTTAAAAAAGACTGTAAGAAGCAAGGCATGGAAGTACCTACCTGTAATCCCAGCATTCTTGGAGGCTGAAGCAGAAGGATCTCAAGTTTGAGCCCAGTAATAGAAATTGAGTGATTTAATGAGACAGTATCACAAAAGGGGGTTGGGATTGGGATGTATTTTGGTGGAAAGACGCTAAGTCAGTTCCCTACTACTAAAAAAAAAAAAAAAAAAAAAAAAGACTACAAAAGATGATTAGGCCATATACCTAATATTTATATTCAGAAAACAGTACCATTTATAGGCAAAAATAAAGTCATTCTTGGGCAATGCATAGTAATAAAGACGAAAACAAGATGAATACAGGAAAATGGTTCTAATTTTGCAGAACATCTCCCAAATGCTACCACACTTCAAAATTTTGGTCAATTTACAGCTTATAATCACAGCTTCTAATTAGTCACTCATTTCCCATTACCTGCTGCGTAGTTCTAAGTGACCAGTCATTTTGAGATAGAGCAAGAAATTAAGGAAGTATCTGTAGCCAGCTGATACCAAATATCTAGGCTAACGTCCTTTAACAGAAACTGATTAAATGATGGCATACTCACACAATAAAAGACAGAAGCTTCTTACATACATACCAATTTCCAAGATACCACAATGTTGTAATGGTTGACACACTGTGTCAACTTGAAAAGTTTAGAAGTTTAACTAAGGGACTCAGCAGGGAGCCAAGGTCCTTACTTTAGAAACATCCTCAGCCTGTCCAAGAGGCTGAGGATGCTATGCTCACCTCGAGGTGGGGGGCTGCTTACAAATAAAGAGAGGAAGAGACTTGCTTCCCCTTACTTTTGCTCTTGCTGCTTTTGCTGCCTTCTGCCACCTTGAAGTGTGGCCAGACTGTCATGCCACCCTACTTTAGAGACAGCTGATTATAGACTGAAACTTTTACAAACTGTGAGCTAATAAGCCTTTCCTTCCTTATTTTTGGGTGTTGAGTATTTTGTTCCAGCAACAAAAACAGAATTTGGTACCAAGGAAGTGGGTTGTTAGGGTGATTGTATCTGACCATATGATTCAAGAGCCTTTGGGAATGGCTTGTGGGAGAATCTCCACACTGAAAGAGTTTGGAGATGCTGCCTGAAAGAGTAAGCACTGGAATGCCTTAGGCTGTCCTGTATGAGAGATTCTGGTCAAAGCTCCAACGACCAGAGGCTGACATATCCTGAGTGTAAGGACCAAGCTCACGAGGTTTCTGCTGGGAAGGACTACCCTGGGATTCTGGACTCCAGATGATACATATTATGGTTTGGCAAAAAGTCTGTCTGCATTTTGCTCCTGTCCAGGGATTGCCTGAAACCATGAAAAACCGTAGCAATGTCAAGTATACAGTAGACATTGTTAATACTGTTATTTCTATCATGACCAGTGGAAACTGAATATGATTTCATTCCATTACACGATCAAGAACTCAGCAGGCCAGGCCATCCACTGGCATCTGAGAACAAAAGGGACATTCAGAAGTTTTGTAAGAAATACCCAACATTCTCCTACCTTTCTACTATGCCACAGATTCTATCCTGTGCAGAGAATCCCCCACACTGTATGGAAGTTAAGAGATCTGAGAGAAAAATGAGCTCACCTGAGCTCCCAAAGGCAGAGGCCCAGCAGCCATTGTCTTCTCTTTCCTTCCCGGGGAGTCCCTCCTAGGGATGGTGCAGATTCCAAGGAGGCAGAACAGAAGGAAGAAAAGGAAAGGAGGTCAAGAGAAGTGAGATTTCTGAGACACCAGCAATAAAAACACCTAAAATGGATAAGATTTATAAGGTATCTTCAAAAAAAAAAAGAAAATGACAATGTTTATTTAGAGTTTGCTTTATTAAGATTATTTAGCTATATAAAAGCAAGATGAAATCAAAGACATGCTGTAATCCAGGTTAGGATAATCTTGATATACTAATTTGTCACTTATTTGAAATTAATCTATAACCAATATAATCCTACTCAATCTACACCTAAGTAAAAAAATACTTTAAAGTAATTATAGAAAAATGACTGAACTTAATTGTGTTATATAGCAGCCAGGAAATTTTTAAAGGACTTCCTATGAAGACAAATATCACGGAAGTTAAATAAACTAATCTCATAGAAGTAGACAGCAGAACAATAGTTACCAGAGGCTGTAGAAGGGATGGCACAATAGAGGATGATTGTCAGGTATAAAAATACAAATAGGAGGGATAAGTTTTAATGTTCTAGAGCTCAGCAGGGTGTTTACAGTTAATAACAACAATGTATATTTCAAAAGACCTAGAAGGAAGGCTTTTAATATTCTCAATACAAATAAGTAATAAATATAAGGTCATAGATATGCTAATTACCCTTGTTCATTATACAGTACAGTGTATTATCACACTGTACCATACAAGTATGTACATTATGTCAATCACAAATAAAATGAAATTTTAAATAATAAAATGAATACTGATGAGTGAGAACTTGCCCAGTAATTTTCCTTTTTTTTTCTTTTCTTTTGGAGACAGGGTCTCACTGTGTAGTTCAGGCTGGCCTTGAGTTCCCTATGTACCCAGACTGGCCTTGAATTCAAAGTGATCCTCCTGCCTCAGCCTCCCAAGTGCTGAGATTACAGGCATGAAATACCACACTGGGCACCCAGTAATTTTTTTAAAATTCTAAGAACCTAGTATTATGGAAGAATCATTCATTCACCAAACATATTGTCAACCTAGTGTGTAAGAAGCACCATTCCAAATAATGGCAGTGTGTAGAGCTTTAAATGAAACAGATAAAGAATCCTCTTGGATGTTACAGTCTAAAAGGGAAAAGGATCAACAGAACAAATTAAAATCCAATATAGATAGTTCAGGAAAAAAAAACTATGTAAGAATTCAGGGGCTGGGAGAACAATTTAGTGGCAGAGCAGTATTTTAGCATGAATAAGGCTCAGGGTTCAATTACCAGGACCACAAAAGAAGAATAAGAAAAAAAAAAAAAAAGAATTCAGCATATTAAAAGAATGACATTTCACATGGGCTTCCCATCTGGAAAAGAATGAAAAGGTACATGGAATAAAACAAAAGTATTAAATAACAGATGAACATTTTTGTGATTTCATGAAACAGAACCTCTCCCCAAATGAGGGAATGTTACGTCTGTCCATATGAACATGTAATATTTTTATACAGTCAGGAAACGTATGCTGAGGTATCGACTACAAAGTGTAAAAAGAAAATAGCTCAGTGACAAAGCACTTGTCTAGCATCCCCAAAACTCAAAAGCAAAAATAAAAAATGGCAAACTACCTAAAAATATCTGAGTTTTCAAAATGCAAACTTAACCCTATCATTTGCACTTCTCAGAAGGCTAAAGTCAATACTAACACCCAGAGTTGGTATGGCTCTATCAGGCACCGTAACATTTCAACTATTATAGATAGAAACTGCTACTTTTTTGGAAGGATAGAGGCGGTATCCAAAGCCTTGAGGTATCCTTGACCTAGAAATTTCACTCGAAGAGATTTACAGAATAAGACTACAATCCACACATGTATAAAATGTATGAAGCCAGATAACCTATTATTACTTACAATATTAAGAGGAAAAACAGAAAAACCCCACAAAAACCTGAAAGATAACATATGACACAAGCACGCTTTCCCTCACGTTAAAATTTTGGTGTCAGCTGTTTTTAAAAATCTGTATTAGATGTGTTCAAAATATCAAATTTTTAGAAAAGTTTATACTATATGTTCCCTTAGGTTGTTACACAAACTCGTGGAGTTTAAGATTCCTGCGCTGCGACACTTAGCAAATAAATTTCATAATTCAACTTTAAGACTAATGGAGAAGACATACTCATTTGTATACACATGTATACACATATGTCAACCGACATGAAGATGCTGACACATTTTTAATGCTTTTGCTTATCTACACTTTCTAATTTCACCAAAACGAACTTGTAAGAAAACGCTTTGAGCCCTCCCCAACCCCGGAGAACGGCACAAGGCGGACCGAGGGCGCCCACGCCCGCACCCTCCATCTGAGGACGCGGAGGGCGGGAGCCGAGGGGCGCTCACACAAAGAGCGGGCCCGGAGGCCCGACCGCCGTCCCGCGCTCCGCCTTCCCGAGGCTGGCTGCACCGCCACCGCCGCGCGCCCGGAGGGCTGCAGGCCCGGTAACCCCTGCGAGGGGCGCGGGCGCCAGCGGCTCCGGGACTGCGTGCTGCGCCGGTCCGCAGCCCGGTACAGAGGAGGCGGTGTCCCCGGAGAGCGGGCGTCCGCCCCCCGCGCGTGGCCCGGGCCGTGAGGGGCGCACCTGCAGCCCGGCGGGCCGCGCTCCTCAGGGCCGGGGTGACGCTTCTCGGCGCACCCACGCCGGCCCCGCCCCTCAGGCCGCAAAAGCCGCACCCCACAGTCCCGGCTCCTCCTCAGGGAGCCTGCGAGGCCCGCCACCCGCGCACTCAGAGCGCCACACTCACCTCGCGCCAAAGGAGCCCGTGGGACTCGCGGCGGGACGCGGCCGCACCCTCCGGCGCGTCCGACTACATTTCCCACTAGGCTGCGGGACCGCGGTGCGGAAGTACAGGTGCGCAGGCGCAGGAGGCGGGGCCAAAGAGTACGGGCTACTGCTGGCGGCAGGGTTCCCAGCTTGTGTCTGGTGTTTGTTGGAGTTGCAAAACCGGGAGGTAATCTGAGCGATCCTCTTCCTACGGCTGCCCCTCTTTAGAAACCCAGCGACTGTAGATGGGTCAGATAATCTGGCCAGACCTCGCTTTTCCTCATCTAAAACAGGGAGCCCCTCATGCACTCCTTGAGATGGTAATAGTAGGAGGTATGGTTGTGACTCGCCAGATGTAGCGGGCGTTTCATGAGCACGAATGGTGGCTGCTGCTGTACCAAGCTTGGTGTCAGGAGATGCTCTCCGTTCTTCAAAATTGCCACTGTATAGAAAACCAGCAAAATGTCTCCCCATGAAACGTTTGCCCTATGTTCAGGTAGTTTGACCGAACTGCCACTTAGAAACTTGGGTAATGTATGACATTTAAGGGGCACAAGAATGTGATCTCTTTGGTTGTAACATTTGGCTTTATAAAATTGATATACAATTGATTGCTGATTTTTTCTACCTTTGTTTTCCCCCTCATATTTTTTACAAATACGGTTGCGGGGATCAAAGATCCAAGAACCAAAATATTATGCTTCCAAAATATCTTCATGCCAATTCTACACAAAGTGCCAACAAGTTGTCCTATGTGGGCCACTCATTACGGAAGCCAATTTTGTCTTTTCCTTTTCTGCCTCCTTTTTCAACTTTTTTTTTCTGTGTCAGTCTGAGTGGTTCTCCACACTCTCCCAGTGCCAATTGCTAGGGTTTAGGAAACACTATCCCCAAAATATGACACTTTGGTATTTGGGAAACTAGCAGAGGCAAGAAGATAATGCTCACCTTGTACTAGTCAGTTCCCTGTTCCTAGGACAAAATACCAGACATCTGAGTCTTAAAGGAGAAAAGGTTTATTTTGGCTCATGATTTTAGGGGCTCAACCCATGGTAGATTGCCTACAAAGCAGAAACATCATGGTGTTAGGGTATGATGGAGAAAGGCTGCCTAACTCACGGATGCCAGGACGCAGATAGAAAATAGAAGACAGGATCAGGGATAAGACTGACCTTCAAGGTTATGTTGAATACGGTGTCATTTTTTTCTCTCACTGATTTCCAGTTTCTCCCTTTTAGTTTTTAGAAGTTTTACTATGATGTGTTTTTGTGTAGATATCTTTGGGTTTATTCTTTTGGGGGTTTGCTCAATTTCTTGAATCTACAACTTCACATCTTTTGCTAAATTAGAGAGTTTTCCTCCATAGTATTTTAAAATCATTATAGGCTCACTCTTTTCCCTTTCCTTCCTGAACTCTGATGATAAATATATCTTTTGTTATAATCTCTCTGGTTCCTACGTCTCTTCTCTTTTTTCTAGTTTGTTTTATCTCTGATTTCTATTGTCCAATCTTCAAATCCACTGATACTCTCCATTCAGTTCTGTTGTGAGTCTCTGTAGTGAGTTTCAAAATTATGGTTATTGTATTTCTTTAGTTCTAAAATTTCCATTTGGTTTTCTTTATCCCTTCAATTTATTTTCTGAGATGTTCAGTTTCTTCATGGAGACTTTGTAATTGGTTTCAAGTGTTTTCATGTATTTTATACTTTATCAGCATTAAAGTTTTTATTAATGTGGTCACTAACTGGTGTCTATTAATTGTCTTTTTTATTTCACTTAAGTGATCTTCCTGGTTGTTGGTATGATGAATATCTTTCAGTAAAGCCTGAATATTTTGGTATTATATTATGAAATATTATTTGAACTTTCTATCTGCCTTGCTTTTATACTGTCACAGCAGAGGTAAAGGAGGTGCCACTTAATTGTGGGCAGATGGGTAGTTGTGCAGGTCTTTCACTTGACCTGACACCTTGAGAGGAAAAAGTCCGTTTATTGCTTGGTGTAGTGATAGTCCCAGATTCTCATTAGGTCTCTCTGTAAGGGCAGAATTTTATGGTTAGTAAAGGCACAATTATAGAATAACAAATTTATAGACATGTTATGGCAAGTTAGAACCAAATAGTAGCCTCCACCTATGCCTGCTGGCTGTCACATAAAACACCCCGCTGAATTCAGTCAGCCTTGACAGTCTGGGTCCAGCTGTTTTTCTTCTAATGGGTTGGGCCAATTTGACCATTCTGTTTGTTTTCCTTTAGAAAACACTGCTTCTAACTGCCTTTAAGGACTTTGGTTGGTGCAGATTAACCCAGTCAAAGATATTTAACTCTGCCTGCTCCACTTGAATCCCCTCCCCTCATTCCCAGGATGTTCCTGTTATGATAAACAATTCCTTTTAAGCAAATATATTTAGAGTTAGTTTCCTGACAATTTATGACTTAATTCATTCCATGTCACTAATCATGTAATGCCTTGTATGTCCTGCTTGTAAACTATAAACTAACCAAAATAAATAAATAAGTAAACTATAAACTAGACCCAGAGCTGGCTCTTTGATAGTGATTTGGACTTGGGCCCACTGTCCCACTAGCATAATAAACGGTTACCTTCCAAATTCCTTGGTGTAAAGAGTCTGCCATGGTTTTTCTATAACAGCACTATGGTTTGGAGGACCAAGAGTGCTTTTCTTGCTGCTCCCTATTTTGCCTCACATCACCAGGCAGTTGAAATGTAGCCTTATTACAGCTGCACAGTGATAAAACTTGTATGCACTCAGCCATCTCTGAGACTGACCTATCAGGGAAGAAGAGATGCTGTCTCCTTCCTCGGTAAAAATTCATAAATCTAGGTTCCCCATCTTCAGTGTTCTTGGTGGGATGCAGCAGATGCCCATAACCAGCCAGTGTGGATGAGTATCCCAATTCTTGGGTCACTGTAGCCCAGTTAGGTCTTTATGGTCCATCTTAACAGTCTTGCAAGGGTGGAAGTCTAAGCTTTCCCCGTGGCCTTTGCTGGTATGTGTAGTGATAGAATCATCCTTTTCTGTTACTTGGCTAAAGTACAGTGGTTATTTTCTAAATGCTTATGGTCTTGGTAGCATCCCCTTCCTTGGTCATGTGGGCAGAGAAATGAAGTTTTGTTGGGACTTTTTTCCTTTGCCCAATCAGTTTTTCTGGGATCACAATCTTTTTGGCTTGAGGTCTTGGACATATAAAAGCAAAAGAATCACCAAAATTTTATATTTATTTTATATACAAGGTAAAGAATTTTTACATATACCTATTAAAAACTGGAAAACTTACATGTCTGCTCCATTTTCCTAAAACAATGACTTTTAGACTAAAAACTTAATGTATAATTTATTTTATTCAACAGTACTCAAAGCAATTTTACTAACAACATGATGTAAAGGGTATTTCTTTGTATTGTTAGTTCTCAACTCATCTTGATCTTTCTTTTTTATTTTTGTCTTTTTCATTTTTATCGGTACCGGGGATCGAACTCATGACCGCCTGCTTGCAAGGCAGGTACTTATGCCATTGAGCTAAATCCCCAGCCCCATCTTGATGTTTCTTTACACAAATGTATATGATGAAGATTTAGACTTTGAGTTGATCTTTAAAATCAAAAACCATAAAGCAGGACATTAAATGATATGGTGGAATTTCTGGAGTTGAAAAAGTCAGGGACTATATAACTCAAAACCAAATGGGGACTAGAAAATAGATCTCTTGACTATGTTCAGTGTTTTTATTGAAAGTTGTATTTTTAAATGGTACTACTGAAACAGTTATTTTTTACAACATGAGACAGACTGGCCAGTGTACTAATGTACACTGGTTTTCAAAGACTAATAACACCCTGACTTTGAAAAGTCAGATGTAATTAAGAATTTTGCCACCATTGGTGTTCAGCAAAATACCAGGACAATTACAGGGCACTAGGAATAGGACTAACCTCTTTTCCTTCTCATTAAGGAATATTTTTTATAGACTGCCAAACGCCTATCTCCAAAAATCAATTTCCATCAATTTCTCAAGCCAGAAATTCACAAATCATCTTCAAACTGTTTGCTCCATCAAATATTGATAAAAGTCTTCAAATTGTCTACCCACTCTTTGGATATATAAATTAGGATCTTCAGAATCAGACTCCCACAGTCCTTAACACTACAAAGATCATTCCCGGTCTCTGACAGCTGAACTCTAGCTTTGATTTCTAATTTTCTTTCATCTTGTATATCAACAAGACCAGTCTCTCTCCTGGTTCCTGTAGATTTTGGACTCTGTCTTCCTCTAAGGCTTTTACTTCTCCATTACTCTATGGCCTTGTCTTCTCCTCCCTTTCCAGACATTACTGTTTTATGGATCCTTCATATCTGGATGAAAAAAATTTCTTTCCATTCTAAATTTTTAGAAGACAATCTTGGTCACTTCAGCCAGGTTTCTATTACATAAGACACCTGCTCTTATACATCTGCATGATGATACATTATGATCAAGTAGGATTGATTTCAGATATGCAAAGTCCAAATTAAAAGGCTGCAATTCTTTTAACACAAAGTGAAAAACAGTACAATCTCAATCTGCAGAAAATGGATGTGACAAAAACATTACTCATTTATAATAAATTTATAACACACAAGGGAAACAAGAAAATGTCCAAGAAAGCTAATATCAGATTAAATGGATCAGTATTCAGTGTTATCATTTCTACTTGACATTGTCATGGTCCATGTTATATAGGATTAAAATGTAAGAAAAGGTATGACTGGAAAAGGCAAATTAAAATGGTCTTTTTTTGTAAATAACAATTGTGTATGCACAAAATCCAAAAGCATCTACAAACAAGCTGTTAGAAATAACTGTGTTTAACACGATCCCTAGATACCAGGACAATATAAAAAAATAAACTGTGCATTTATATACTAATAATGGAAAATAAAGTTTAAAAATATTTCCAATACTACAGTGAGCACATCATGTCCTCTCAGTGCCTTCATGACACTGCCTAAGCTTGCCCCCTGTACAAAATGCCTTTCCAGATTTTGACATACCTGGTCAACTCCTGCATTTTAGTTTTCAGGCTTACCACTTTTTTCTCTTTTTGAGAAAGTGTTTCATTATGCAGTTTAGGCTGCCTTGAACTCACTTGGTATCCCTGACTGGCCTCAAGCTCATGGTGATCCTCCTGCCTCAGCCTCCCAAATGCTGGTTATCACAGGTGTGCATACCATGTCAAGACTTAACTCACTCTTTAAAGCATTTTCTCCTGCCCTGAGTATCTTTAAAACTTTAATTCATCAACAAATTCCCTAAGTCCCTCCTCAGATTTCAAACATATGAAAGTGTAAAAGTAGGACGTTTTTAATGAAACAACTCTAAACTGAGCCATATAAAAATTGAGCCATGCTTTCTTTACAAAATACTCTAAAGCAGATTTAAACTTATTGTCTCATTTTTAAGCCCCAATTATCTAGTGCTACGTTTATTAACATCTTACAAATGAGATCTTTTCCCTACCGTGGAGAAAATGTTTGCAGGCCAGGCTTGTGGGATTAAGCCATCTTTGACATCACAAAACATCTTTAATACTATTGCCAGAAGTTTCGTACTAAAAATTTCTAATTGATGTCATAAGCATCAGAATGAAATTCAAATTCCTTAGTACAGAAAGACCTTTTGTTACCTAGCCTCCTACATTTTCCCATACCATGCTCTTTACTTCTCACCACACATTTTCTACAAATGTGCCATGCTGTCACCCATCCACCCATGTCTTTGCATATGTGCCTTCACCTATTTTGAACACTTCTCTCACTCTTGAATGATTTCAGTTCTTTTTCTAAAATGTCCCTGAAACATCACATCTGGTCTTTCCAGAATCCCTTGGTTAGTCTTCATTCCTCTCTGCATCCTGTGCAAATCCTTTTGTACCTCTACAGAGTATCATCATAAATTAGACCTCTTTTCTCTATAAAAACCAATTAATGTAATTATTACCTACTATTCCTTTTAACTCATACATGCCCCTTTCATTTAATATTAGAATATGGCCTGTTTCTTCCATGCAATTTCTAGTTCTCAAGATAGAATCTGGCCCAAATGTAGGCCTTAAACACACATATACTGAGCAAACCAATTCGAAAGATCACTATATAGTCTGAAATTTTCCAAAACTATAAAACCTCAACTGAAGAAATTGTTATTCACTGATTCCTTTTCAAAGACTTAGTCACATATGCTATGTATTTAAAACTATCAAGATCTATTTTACAACTAATGTAAAATTATAGCTTTAATTTTGAAGTGATTGGCTAACCAATATAAAAGTTTTTGTTTAAATTATCAAACAAGAGCGCCAGGGATTTAGCTCAGTGGCATAAGCACCTGCCTGGCAAGCACGAGGTCGTGAATTCAATCTGCAGTTCCGCAAAATAAATAATAAATAATCAAACATTGGTGTTCAAAGCATCATTATGAGTTTCTAATAAGTGACCTCAATAAAATTTTGAGAACAAAATTAAGAATTGTTTAGAAAGCATGGAAGACATTTGGGTATCATCTGACAGAACAAAAAAGAAGGTAATAGACTTTTCTTTCTTCTTTTTAATAAAAGCCACGCAAAAAGTTTGACAATAGGTAAGGGAAAAGGTAAACTCCAAACACTGAGGTAGTCTGCTGTTTCTTTTTTTAAAATTTGGTCCTTTGCTCTAAAATGCATTTAAGATCAATTTCTTTTATTAAATTAGCTCTGATAAATATGCTAGCAGCTCACACTTGTTTTCTGAGAAATCTAGCACCCTGAACACCAACTTTCCTCATGTTTACACGATGTAGATATTGTACAATGCTGATAAAGACAAGAAAAACCAACTTTTTATCTTATAAATGGCTAATACCAATATCTGCAAATATGAGGTGTCTTAGGATATTACAAAAAGTGACTGACAGGTATAAAATTATTCACCATAATTATTATATAGACAAGGTTTATCCTTGGAAATTAGTATCTGATGAGGACTAAATTAAAGTTACCTCATTTTCATTACATTTAATAAATCAGTCTCAAGTACTTATTCTCTGATAAACTTTGGTTTAAGGCTTTCACACATGCAAATCTCCTTTCAACGTTTCTGATTCAATATGAATTTTATAATGATTAGTAAGGGATGACCTCTGGCTGAAAAGTTTCCCACATGCATTACATTCATAGGGCTTCTCTCCAGTATGAATTCTTTGATGTGCAATAAGCGAGGAGCTTTGTCTAAAGTTCTTCCCACATGTATTACATTTGAAGGGTTTCTCTCCTGTATGAATCCTTTGATGTTGAGTAAGAGCAGCACTTTGACCAAATGACATCCCACATTCTAGACATCGATAAGGTTTCTCTCCAGTATGAATTCTTTGATGATTACTAAGAGATGAGTTACACCTGAATGTTTTCCCACAATCAGTACATTTATAGGGTCTTTCACCAGTATGCATTCTCTGATGCTGAATGAGAGCTGAACTTTGCCTGAAGGCTTTCCCACACACCTTACATTTACATGGTTTTTCTCCAGTATGGATTCTCTCATGAATGATAAGGGTTGAATGGGAACTTAAGGCTTTGCCACATTCATTACAATTATACAGTTTCTCTCCAGTATGAATTATTCGATGTCTGTTGAGTCGTGAGATAGAAGTGAAGCCTTTTCCACACTCATTACATCTGTAGGGCTTTTCTCCAGTGTGAATTCGTTCATGTTGAATGAGTGATGCACTCTGACTGAAGGCTCTCCCACATTCACTGCATTTGAAAGGCTTCTCTCCAGTGTGAATTCGCTGATGATAACGAAGGGAGGAGCTAGACTTAAAGGTATTGCCACATTCATTACATAAGTAGGACTTTTTTCTGAGGTGAAGTCTCTGACCTCCTGAAAAGGAAGTGGTACAACTGGATGGCTTCCTACCTGGATTATACTTATGGGGATTTTCTCGAGCATGGATTTTTTGATGTATAAAAAGACCAGATCTTCTGCTAAAGGATTTACCACATTCTTTACATCTATAGCATTTCTCCACAGTATGGGTTCTAAGGTGCTTACAAAGGGATGCACTATGGCTGAAGGCTTTCCCACATTCTTTACATATGTAGGGCTTCTCTCCAGTATGAGTTCTTTGATGTTGAATAAGAGCTGAACTTTGGCTAAAGGCTTTTGAACATTCTCTACACTTAAATAATTTTTCTCCACTATGGTTTTTCTCATGTTTACGAAGGGATGAATTGTGAAAGAAAGCTTTTTCACATGTACGACATTTATAGCGTTTCTCTGCTGTCTTGATTTTTGGCTGATTAAATGAATTTGAATTCTGCTTGAAGCTATTTCTTTGTATTTCATATTTTAAGGGTATTTTGTCTCTAGCAATCCTTTGTGTCTTAATAACTGATTTCACACTGACATTTTGTCTAAATTCAAAACTATTACGGCATTCATCTAAAGCAAGAATTTTCATATGGGTTAGTGAAATTATTTGCACACTTTCATTTTTGTCCTGTTTTTTAAATCTGTCTTCAAATATGCAGGGCTTTTCTGGTATGACATTTTCATCTTTTTTTAGCTTCTTCCTTATTAGTTCCTGAAGTAATAAGTCTTTTGTTTGAGGTGTTTTTGTGATCTCAAGACTGCTTTTACATCCTGGAGGGAAAAAAATGATCAGTGTGATTAGCTGAGACTAAATTTGTAGAAGCTGTATTATATCAAAATAAAGTTTGAGATGTGTATATGTGGCAGCATGGGAAAAATAACATTTAATTAAATTGATAATGAGCAATAGCTTTACTACCAGAGTGAACAAAAGAATAAAACAAGCTCATTTAAGGAGCATGAACATGAGAAGAATGATTAGTGGGATGAAAAGAAGAATTAGGGAAGTAATGAATTGGGAAGTATAGTCTGATTTCCAAAGCCTAAGACTGACTCGTCAACTATCTCACTTTGTAATTTTCTATTTTTGAACATCTTGCCTCTCTTTCCTACGTGACAAGCTTTTCTACACCCTTCAGATTCATTTCCATGTTACCTTCTCTGTACCCTACTTCCTGACTCTGAGCTCCAACAATTCCTGATCCTCTTTTAGAACATACAGTTTAATTACAGGAAAATACTATGAGAATCTTCTAAGACCACTGTTGTATATACAGTCTGTCATTGAGGACAGTATTAATATAGCACATGCCTATACTACATATAAAGAAAAAAATTTATCTCATGCTGAGAAAGGCTGCAATAAAATTCAGCACTGCTGACAACAAAAATAGGAACTGAGGAATACTCCCCCAAAATGGTATAATTTATACACCTTAGATCTTAAACTAGTATCTTACATAGTGAAGAAGCACTAGATGTATTTCCACTATGCTCAAGATATCTATTATTTTCTTTACTACTCAACACTGTACTAGAAGCATTAACATATGCAATTAGATAAAAGAAACCAATTAGAGACCTAAGGATGAATCAGGAAGTGTAACCACTTGCATTTGCTGACGTTACTGTATATAAAAAAATCCTAGGGAATCAATGATTCACTAAAGTAATAGGGTATGCAACTGGCATACCAGACAATACCTATCACTGACAAAGAAAGAGAGGAACAAATCTGCAAGAAATGAAAGCCAAGCATGGTGGCACATGCCTGTGATCCTAGCATTTGGGTGAGGCAGAAGGATCATCGTAAGTTTGAGGCCAACATTGTGAATTCAAGGTCAACCTGTTCATAGGGAGACTTTGTCTCAAAAAAAATATGAAAAACCTATATGAGAAAAATTTTATGAGCATTTTGAATGACATTAAGTTACACACAAATAAATGGCATGCCCTCGCATATTCTTGGCTAGAATAATTCAAGGTCATAGGTCATAAAAACGTCAGGGGATAAAGACAATAAGAAGTCCCATGGCAAGCATTCTATTAATATCATAGAGAAGCCCTTGTCCTGCAACTAACAGGGTTCTGACCACCCATTGCTGCTTTGTACCACAAAGATGCAGGCACAAAGGCAGGACATCACTGTTGCCATCTCTACTGGCTGAGATGGCTTCCAAAGGATTTGAGCAACAGTGCCTAATCCTCACAAATCTCACAAAAATCTCTAACTCTTTTTTTTTTTTCTTTCTTTGTGAGGCATTTAACAGTAAGGACATTGAAAAGCACCTACATAACAGGAAGATTTAGTAAGTCATCATGCTTGTCCAAAGAAAGGCTCAGAAAAGGCATGAAAAACCTTTGGTTTATACCTCAGGCTAATTAATGGCAAAGAGACCCCCTGTAACTAAAGAAAAACCAAAAATAAAACCAACAACCACCACCACCACCACCACCCAAATTCTAGAACAATAAGAATAACAATCACCCAAATTCTAGAAGACCCAGGGAAGGAGGCAAATCTGATTCCCAGAGTTATGAGTAACAGATAAAATGCATACTTTTTTTTAAGAAAAGGTCTTGCATGTAGTTCAGACCAGCCTTGAACCCACTGCATAGCTCAGATTGGATTCAAATTCATTGTGATCCTCCTGACTTAGTCTCCCAGGTTCTGGGATTCCAGGTGTGTCACCACATCTGGCAAAATGTCTTACTTTCAACAAAAATCATAAGGAATTTTTTAAAAAGGGAAAGTATGATCAGTTCCAAAGGAAAAAAACACAGAAAACACTTATGAGAAAAGATCAAATGGTGGCATATGACTCTAAGAATAAGACAACTGTCACAAAGATGCTCAGAGAGCTAAAGGAGGATAGAGAAAAGTCATGAAAATTACACATGAAGAAAAAATATGAATAAAAAAACAGAAAACTTAGAAACAAATTCTGAAGATAAAATGTAGAAATTCAGTGGTTCATGGCTGTCATCCCAGTACTTAGATTTGGGCAAGAGAACCCAAAGTTTGAGTTCTCTTGGGTAACTTAATGAACCTGTCTTAAAAAAAAAAAGGCAAAATAAAAGGGCTGAGACTGTAGCTCAGTGTGATGGTCCTGGGGTTGAATGCCCAGTATTTAAAAAAAAGGAAGAAAAAAAAAAAAAACAGAAAAAATAAAAGAAGCAAAGAGAAAATTTCATTTTAAGTTTTTAAAGATTTGAGTAGATAGAAAAAAGAATAGGCAAAGTTGAAGGTACAATAATTAAATTGAGTCTGAGAAACAAAGTGAAAAACATTGAAGAAAAGTATACAGAACCTGAGATACTCAAAGTCTGTCAATAACACAGTCATGACTTGCCTCCAGGGCTGGTCCTCAGAGCTGAAGAGGAGGGAGCTGATCCCACCACCCAGGGTCCCAGCCTCTCCCTGCATAGCTCAGGACCCCAGCCCCACTTCCTACTCAGTCTAATTCCTCTCACACTCACTTTTCACATCTCTCAAGGGGATCTGATGATGGGGCATAGGGTGAGACTCTCTCTTTTCCTCATTCGCACACACTCAGACTATAGCTACTGGACAGACATCCATGTAATAATTCTTGAAGGCCGCCCTGCTGCCTGCATGTTGACAGTTTGTTTTCAAGTAGCCTCCTTGATCTTTGACAGTGGCTATACAATTATGTATTTGTTCCAAATCAAAGTTAAAAAAAACCCAGATACCTGTAGTTGTCATTTCGGATGTTGTCGCTGGAGATCAAGCCTGGACTGCCAAGCCTGGGCTGGCAGGACAATGTAATCTGTCCTGTGGTTCTCCCTGACCCTGGTGTGAGGGGCAGATGACAGAGTGGAACTCCTTATCTCTGCTCAGTCCAGTACAGCTCTCAGATCCTCAGACCAAACTCTGATCAGCCCAGGACTGGTGATATCTCATGCCACTGCTGTCTCCTACAGGCTCATCTATCCTTTTCCTCACTAGACACTGGCTTCCCATCTCAGAGTGATCACACCTGTGACTTTAGGGCTGGACTAATTACCCCTGCCCTTCCTCAGGGAAGTCTTGGCTGCTGCTTCCTCTACTTTGCCCTCATAGTACTTTGACTTTCCCCTGGCCCTCACTAGAATTTGTTCTTTCATACCCTGAGTGTACAGGGCATCTTCAATCTTGTCTGCACTTCAAGATCATGAGGACAGGACCCTGTCTCACCATGTCCAGTGCTGGCCTCTGGGTCCCTCCCAAGAGGTTACAGAGCACATATGAAGGCAGGGAGACAAGCTACAGGGAAGAGTACAAATCTCAGTCCTCCAACACCAGAGATTCCCAAATTATACATCTCTTATCTTTAAAGGCCTCTCCTAGTTCTCTGCATTGGTAACTTTACCTCATGCTCAGTAACAGATTCCTCTTAACCAGCAGGCAAAGATTGCTTCCTCTGCTCTGCTCACTCACCTGGTCAGTTCAAGGCTGCCAATGCCACCTTCACAGTGAGGGATCCCTGACCTCCTCTTGGGAGTCCCAGGTCTTCCATTTCCTTTACATGCCTGCCCACCAGTGATCTCTACCAAGTACTTAACTCACATTTCAAACAAAAACCATTTTCACTGAGCTCGTCCTGTACCCTTATCAAGCTGACTTTTCCTTGTCCCTAGGACTCCTATGGCAGGTGCCTCTGTCCAGGCCTTAGCAGCTTCCGGTCTACAAGACTGCAATGGCTCTGGGAAGCTTCCTGCCTCCAATTCTGCCTCACTTTAGCTTTACCCTCCACATTGCTCCATCGTTTATCCTCCACCATGCTCATTAACATCAAATCCCATAAGAGCTTCAGGAACACACCCCGCCTTTGGGAACAGTAAAACACTGCATGCAAAGAAAGCCCCATGTGTTAGATTCATTCCAAAAGTAACTACTGTTAACAGCTAAGCTGTACCCCTTAAGTTTACCCCACTTCCTCCAAAGCTTACTCTCTGCTCCCACATCATGTTACACTGTGTAGACACACACGGCACTGCCATCAACATAAATGGTGGCATAGGTTAGCATCACTCTGCAACTTGCTTCATTCCTTAACGTCCCTTGGAGCTCTGTCCAAGTCAGTGTGTTTTTATTTTAAGTGTGGTGATGGATGCCACAGAAAGAATATACCGTAGTTTCTTCAGCTATTTGACTGAAGGACATTTAAATTGTTTCTGATTTAGACCAATTTTTCTAAACTTTCAGGATCATGTAAAGTGCTATTTGAATTGTTGAGTTATTTCCAGTCATCCAGGAGACAGTCCCACTCTCTCAAAACTGCACCAAAGCACTGTGGTCCTTACACAACTTCCTCCTGTCATTCCTTCCTCAGCTTCCCCTTTTCCTGCACCTACCCTGAGCTGCAGCCAGAGGAATTACTTGCAGTTCCTTAAATACACTGTTTGTTGAACCAATAAAAATGTAGACCTTCTTGGAAACAACAGGAAACAGTAAGAAGAGAGACCCTGAGAGATTCATGTGAGAAGTGATTACAAGAGAAAGAGAGGAAGCCAATATCTAGGAGCCTGGGCTTTGCCTTTCTCTCTTCTTAAGGATCCAAAGCTGAAGAACCTGCCAGGCAACACTCCCAGATTCCCCTGCTTCCTATTAACCCAGGCACCTTGGGCCCAATCACTCACCGAGTGAGGGGTCTCCAGGGATTTCTTTCTCAACCTTCCAGGGATCTTCTCCTTGCTGCAACAGGGAAATCACCCTTGGTTTGGTAAAGGGAAATCCTGCTCATAAGACAAAAAAGAATTCATAAAAAATTTGAGAAACCAGAAAAACACCAGAGGCTAATAAAATAGATTACAGAGACCACCTGTAATCACAAAGCCTGAAATAGTCACCACTTGGCTCTTTAGAGAGAAATTCTGCTGACCCCAGTAAAAGCAAATGCAGGGACAAACAAAGTCCTCTGCCATAGTGAGCAGGAGCCATAGGAGAACTGGTGTGGAGAAAGAGGCTGGGACATGAAGAAAGCTCCCACAGGCAACCACAGAACAAAGGGAGTGATTCCTAACACCACCTGCTATTCCTGTGCATGGTCCATTCCCTGCCTGTGAGTGGGGAGGATTCTTTCAACATTTATTTGGAGACATCTAATTTGTATAGTCCTAAGGCAAAACTTGGGAGATGTTTATTGATGGTCAACAGCCCTGCTACTCAGGGAAGGAACGCCTCCCTTTCCCAAGGTTGGTCTCCATGGGAATTTCCTTACCCAGGGAAGCCAGGTTCCTGTAGTTCTCCAGCATCACGTCCCGGTACAAGCTTCTCTGCAGAGCATCCAGCTTCCTCCACTCGTCCCGAGTAAAGAGCACAGCCACATCCTCAAAGGTCACTTCCACCTGTAAGGACAAGCTCACTTGGGACGAGCTCAGAGGACTAAAAATTTATATATATTATATATATATATATAAAACGTATTGCATAATATAAGAAATGAGCTTTGTCCTCAAAGAATTTACAATACAATTGGCAGACAAGAGAAATGTATGAAATAATGTGAACAACTGAAGAAAGCCATGCAGGCTCCTGGGCTTAACTCAGCAGAATCTTACACAGCACACCAGAAGTCATACTTTGATCCCCAGCAGGAGGAAAAGAGTGACAGAGCTGAGCAGGCACGATAATATGTTACTTCCTACTTTAATCTTCACTACAGAGACAAGAAAAAGAAGACTGAGATGCAGGGAGATGAGACCCCAGGCCACACGCTTTACTAGGGCAGCAGCACAACCAGAACTGAAACTTTCCAGCTGTGAACTTAGCTCCCAGCCTGTTCCTTCTCTAATCTTAAACTTGCCATCCCACACGTGACACAGCACAGCATGCAAGCATGGGCGGCAGCCATGGACAGAAAGATGCAATAGGGGATTTTCACACAGAGGGATGGAGAAAGTCTAGACAGGACAGCAACCTGGACCTGTTTGAATAGAGTGGGGAAACCTGAAGGAAACAGTGCTGCCCAATCAGCAAACTGCAGGTCCTGACCACAGTCTCAGATCCACTCCCACCACACTTGTGGGTCCAAAGACAGTGTGGAAATTAGGAAAGTGCCCTGCTAACATGTGACCTGGGCTGCATGCTCTCCATGGTGATCTAGTGTGGGTCAGAGATTAATTTAAACTACTTTAACCATAGGTTATCCAGGGACTCTGCGCTCTACTAGGACATATGATTATTGTTCTGGAAAAAGTCTTATAAATACATGTGTTTAAGGAAAGGAACGCCAAACCTTAGTCTCAGTGAAATGCTGCTGGGACAACATGAGATGCTTTGCTAAGATGGGTCCTAAAGTACAGTAAACATGAAGGCCAAGAATAGCCAGAGATGGCCCCTGGGACAGGTAAACGATTAAGTTCTCACTTATCTGCACTTTAATTCTCTCATTTCTCACTTCTGCTTTTTGTAAAAAATGACCAGAGAAAACTATGACCAAGGCTTCAGTCCTAGATACTGTGGCCCCCTGATCCCATAAATGTGTCTCCATCATTTTCTTGTTTTAGCTTTTTTTTTTGGTACCAGCGATTGAACTCACCATCTTGTGCTTGCCTGGCAAGTGCTTTTGCCACTGAGCTAAAGCCTTGGCATCTCTCTTGTTTTCTTCTCATCTACTGCATTTCATTTAGCGGACCTGTCTCCACATAGAAACCAACAATCTAGTGGGTCATTGGAGGATTTAAGCCTGGATTGAGAGCCAGATTCACTGAGCCTGAATGTGGGTTATCTAACTTGAGCTTCAGTTTCTTCAAATGTATTTAAAATAAGGATGCTAACAGCCCTCCTATATTAAGAACTAGAAATAAATGCAAAGCCTCAACAGAGTCAGCAGTATGCTGGATGGTCAAAAAACATCAAGTGTTAAGTGAAAATGAGCAGAGAATGAAGGAGTATTTTCCAGTTCCTACAAACACTGGAAAGCAGTTTTTCAACATTTAATACTATTAACACAGCATGCTGGATGGTCAAAAACACATCAAGTGTTAAATGAAAATGAGCAGAGAATGAAGGAGTATTTTCTAGTTCCTAGAAACACTGGAAAACAGTTTCTTCAACATTTAATGTTATTAACACAGCACTATTCAGCTGTCATAAATACCATGCATTAAGTATGATGTACCAGGTCCTCATCTAAACATTCTCTAGGCACTAACTCAAGTCATCCTCTCTCCTCCTCTAGGAGGTAGGCACGGCTGTTCTTTGTATCTCATAGGTTGGGTGGAATTATTTGCCTTCAGCTCACAAACAACAGGAGAAAGAGGTTAAAACTCATCCTTTGGCATCACAGCCCCACTTCTAAACACTGTATGCACTGCTTCTCCATCACGGATATCCCATGAAACCATCCTGTATCTTCCAACTGTGTCTCCTCAACATGGCTATCTTTTGTTTCCACTGACACCTGGCCTGAATGGGTCCTCTCTTGTCCCCAAGCATAAAGATGAAAATGGCAGGTCAAGATCAGATTTTGCCACTGCTATAGACAAAGCCAATGAATGATCCATACAGGTAAAAGGGAGGAAAAAAGCAAAACTTCCAGCCATGGAAGCCAGGGGGAAGTATTGTGACAATTCTTGAGACTTAGAATCATTCTTGAGGAAGACATGCATGAGTCAAAGCAGCAGGTGAGAAAGAAATTTTCTCAGGTGTGCATGTTTGTTCTGCCCCTAGCGATAGAAAGACACCTGTCTCCTGCAGTGTCAAATTTGTAATCAGATGGTGGAGTGAGATTAGTAAACAGTGTGTGTATCAGGAACAGAAAGGGGGCACTACATGTGGAAAGATATGGGCAGTGTTCTCCTCCACGATAAAAGGATTTGTGCTCGAAATCCTGGGGAAGACTTGGGTAGAGGTAAAGGAGGAAACAATAAATTCCACCCATAAGAACTAAAATGCACTGAGCTCACCTGAGCCCTTGCTTCCTTGTGCCAATTAGCCATGTCCTCTTTTAGCCTCTTCCCCTTGGATGGCGATGATCTTCAGAAGGCAGATCTGAGAGAAGAAAAAGGGGTCAGGAGGAAGCCCCTTCCACTTTCCCCTCAGAAATCAGCCACTTTGAAGTCCTTCCACCCCCCAGGAAAGCCCAGATGCGTCCTCAGAGAGGGATAGCAGAAGCTGGTAGTAGACAGAGGCAGAGGGAAGGGCAGAGGCCATCTGGTTGCAGACTCTCATGCTTCTTGCCTCAGAGAATTCCCAGACGCAGACCTGGAGAAGGCACTTAACGCTACCAACTACAGGAACTCACTGTGCCTCACCCCGTTCCAGGCACTGCTTACTGTTCAGTCTCACAGCTCACTGGCATTGTCAGCACCCCGTTTTATAGACTGGGGAACTGAAGGCAGTGTAGGGGCACCTGGCCCTGTCCACACAGCCACGGAGGGAGGTACGGACATCCAATCCAGAAGGGAACCTGAGATCTGTCCTATTGTTACTGGGCATCCTATGCCAACTTTCCTGACCCTCAAGCTTCTTCCGCCCAATTTCTGTCTCCTGTCAAGGAATCAATTTCCAGAGTTTTAGAGAAAACTGTTCCAGAAAAATGAAACCATGGGTTTTCCATTGACATAGGACAAAGACATAAAGAGGCAGAAGGGAGAAAGGGAAACCAAAAATTCACATTGTACCCTCAAAGCCAATCCCCGCTGCAGGACGCGCGCTCAAAGTTACCCAAGGCTGCAATTCCTGTCCCTTTCGAGCCCCTCCTAAACCCTGAGCTCAGCTCACTGCAGAGCGGGCCGCGCCGCCCACCCGCGCCCCGTCCCGTAGTGCGGCGTCAGACCCCAGGCTCGGCCCGGGACACACAGCGGCCCGCCGCCGCACCGCGCCCCCTCCGAGCCCGGGCGCCCTCTCGAGCGCGGCTCCTTGACTCCCGGGCCGCGGCCCGCGCCCTCCAGAACCCGTCGGGAGGAGCCTGGCGCGACGCGGTGAGCCCGGCCGGCTGTGGGGCGCTCGGGGCCCGTCCCGTCCGGGCCGCCAGGGGCGCAGGGACCGGCGCGGAGGTGACAGGCCGGGCCGCCCGCACAGAGGCCGGGCCGCGCTCACCTCGGGCTCGGTCCGCCAACCTCGCCAGACCAAGCTCGCGGGGGAGGCGCCGGCCCCGCCCTCCCGCCTGCCCGTAGCAGGCCGGCGCGAGGACTCCGCCACCAGCTACCTCAGCCTGGGGCCGCGAGCCTGGCGGCCGAAGCTCCGCAGCAGCTGAGGGGCTGAGGTGCTGAGGTGCTGAGAGGCGGGGCGGGGCCGGGGCGGGGCGGGACGGAGCGGCAGCTGGTACTTCTGGGAAATGGAGTCCGCTTGAGCCCCAAGTGTTCTGGGAAATGTAGTTCTGCGCCTTTGGCTGAAGGAGAAGACTGGACTAAACCCTCTGGTTCCCAGACTAGAGAGTGGGCGTGGGAATTTTTTTATGTCCCATTCTTTCGGGGGAGCTCTTTGTGCCCTATCCCTCTGGATGGTATCAGAGAAATTTTGTTTTAGCTCTGTATTTGCATAAATGTTATGAGATCATTAGATAATGACCAATAATAGACCCATTTCTCTTGCAGTTATTCAGCAAACCTGGTGGTGAGCTCTTGCTAGATGCCAAGCCAAATTGGAACAGTTGGGTTTTTTTGATATGTAGTTAACGCTAATCCTGTACTCACTGTATCTCCCAGGCTGGCCTTGAACTCCCAGCAGCCCTCCAGCCTCAGTCTCCCAAGTGTTGGACTTGCAGGCGCGTACCTCCACACCTGGCCTGAAAACAGGTTAAAATACATTAGTGAACCAAAATATCACTGTCCTGAAAACTCTTGAGTGGTAGGGAGCATACAATAAGTCATGTACATATAACATTTGTTATCACTTCTATGTAGATCTCTGCTCAAAGCCTCATAAAATCCTATGTGGTGTTTTTTGGAGGTGACTGGATTTAGGATGTGTGATACTTGGATTAAGGGTATGTGATATTGATTTATCATAGTTGGGTGTGGATAATTGGAAGGTCCCCCTCCCTCTGGTTGTGGGTGATACCACCCAAAAGGCTTGTAGCCTGGATGGGATAAAAGATAAAGGAAGGATTTCTGCTGATATTTATTTTCCTTGCCTCCTGCCTTCTTTGCTGTGGACTGTTTCTCCTCCGCAATGCCCCTTTACCATACTGATCTGCCTTGCAACCAGCTGGCTATGGGCTGAAACCTTTACAGACTGTGAGCTGAAATAAACCTTTCCTCCTTTAACTTGTAGTGTTGGGTATTTTATTCCTGTAATAAGAAATTAATTAAGACAGTATTTTAGAGGGTAAGTGTTAACAGTAAAAATTAAAAGAATAAGCCATTATTATAGCTTGTAACTAGACGTCCCCCGCCCCAAAGCCCAGTCATAGGTGGGGCTTTTTCAGAGGTGGTTGAATCTGGAGTTGTGATTGAGTCATGGTGCATTGCTAGGATTAAGGGTGAGTGATTACTAAATCAGTCCACTGGTTGGTTTGGCATCACCCTAATCCCAGTAGCCTGGATACAATAGAAGGGTCAGGAGAGGCTTGTCTTGTTAATTCCTGCCTTGCTTTGCCACCTTCTGGCCACCATGGACTATTTTTTTCTGTAACACCCCTCTGCCAACCCACCCTGCCTTGGATCCAGTCAGTTATGGACTGAAAGCTGTACAAACTGTGAGCTACATAAATATTTCCCCCTTTAACTTTGGATGTCAAGTATTTTGTCTCATCAAGGAGAGAAATGTAACTAAGACAGCTAGTGTTCCTTATTGGTATAGACGAAAATTTGTTCAACAAAATAGCAATTAACTTCGTTTGGCATCATATAAAATCAGTTGTACAACATGAACAGTGAGCTTTCTATTATGCAAGAATCAATCAACATAGGAAATTCGATCAGTGTAATAAAGGATCATGTATCAGGATGAAAGGTAAAAGCTCCCACATAATTATTTAAACTAATGCATTAAAAGCATTGGACAAAATTCAACACATTAAACATAATAAAGTAGGAATAGAATGGAACTTGTTCAACATGATAAATACCATATGAGAAAAAGGCACAGCTAAGGATATGGTAGCCCCCACCTGTAATCCTAGCACCAAAGGAAGGTTGCAGCGGGAGGATCAAAAGTTCAACCTCATCTACACAATTTAGATTTTCTCTGAAAATACCAAATAAAAAGGAGATGTAGCTCTTAAGTGAGTTTCCCTGGTTTTGATCCCCAATACCTAAAAAAAAAAAAAAAAAAAAAAGTTTACAAGGAAGGCCTAGCCACAGATGCTGTCTCTGGTCCTTCAGCACAAGAGTGTGGAGCCACAGGATAACTGTCAACATTTAGACCAAAATGGAAACTTCCATTCTATTCCAATAGAGAGAACCAGGTCTGTAGTGTCCCCTGGAGCACAGCAAAGCCTATGAACCTGTGACCTCAATTTTTAGGGCTTCGAGTTTCCCTGCCAGACTTTGCTGCTTGCGGCCACCTTCAGGCTGTGAGCTTGTGTCTTGGCAGTTTCCTTCAGCTCTTTGTCCTGCGCCCCTGCTGGGACTCTACGTGGACCCGAAAAGGTCACCAAGTATTTTTTTTTTTTGACACAACTCCACTTCTGATCCATTCTAATGCCTGATATAAAAAGAGTGACATCCTATAAGAACAATTCATGTCTGTATATGATACCAGTATAAACTCTAGTTTCCTTTTAAGTTACCATGCATTGACGTAAGAAATGTACTGAGTGAATGGAGGTGACTCTCGGGGCAGTTATCAGAGACACTTTCTGTGTCAGGATGGAAATCTACATTTCTGTTTTACATGAACTCAAAGATTTCATAGTATGGCCTGTTAGTTTTTCTGTAAATGTGCACACCACTATGTCTTCTCTGTCATAGTTTGGATCTGAAGTGCCCCCCACAGGCTCACTGCGTTGAGGGCTTTATCCTAGTGCACTGATATTCCGGTGGGGCTCTGGTGGAAGTGCTAGCTCACCAATGGCTCATCCGCCTGCCCCTTAGGAGGTGGGGTCTTGTGGAAGGGCGTGGGTCACTCAGGGGTGACCCTGGGGGCCAGACACTGTCCCTGCCTGCTCCTCCCTTCTCTCTGCTTCCTGCCTGCCATAAGATGAGCAGCTATCCTCTACCGTGCACTCAGGCCTTGTGCCAGCTTGAGTACAGTGGAGTCCATCATGGATTGAGGCCTCCAAAACTGTAGCCAAAATAGACCTTTCCTCCTTTACGTTGTTCGTTTTTTCCCTTTTTCTCCACATATTTAGTCACAGCAGTGAAAAGCTGACACTGGCTTTTCACATACCTTTCTTCCACAGGCTTCATTAGAGCTTAAAGACGTAGAGAACAGCATTGACGGCTCCAGAAGCCTGTCAGGAAGTAGACCCTGTCTCAAAACGAAATAATAAAAAGGGCGGCGGTGTAGCTCGGTGCGGAGGCCCTGGTCCAACCCTCAGTACCACGAGTTGGGGCCTGGTGGGGTGAAACAGGACGGCTGCGGCCCAGGAGTTGGGGCCTGCCACGAGAGGGCGCTATCCACAGCTCCCGGCCTGGGTTAAACCTCACAGCAGTGTGTCCCGGGACAGCGGGGAGCTCAGTCCTTGCTCCTCTTTCACTCAGTGATATTCGCTGCATGGAAATGCACCAGCGACAATCCATCCTGCACTCTCCAGCCTCACTCCCTCTCTCCACCTCTTCTCCCACATTTGGGTTAAATAAAGCATGAATCCTCTGACATGCTGTACTCTGTTTCTATCTTTAGCTTCCTGATAACTTCATTCTCTCCAAGTTACGACATTTGTGTGCTAATAGCTTGCAACCAGTCTCGTTATTAACAAACAAAACGTGCAATTCCTATCTATAGCATACCAGGAACCACCAGCGAATCACTCAGATACTCCTGATTTCTCATTTCTATTTCTCTAACCCTATTCAGTTGATAATTATTATCACCCAGGTACGATCACACACTACATACTCACATTCTCCACGGTGTCCCAGTCTTGCATTTATGGTCATCACAGTCAGACTGTACCCTGGTTAGTGTATCTGATTATTGCCCTGAGAATTCGGATCAGCTATTTCATTGTAATCACTGCCTTCTGCCTTTTAAAATTTCTCCAAAGTAGGGAACATATAGAAAACTTGTTTGAAGCCTTTAAAGTTGAAGAGCCAGCCAGAGTCTTCCTTTTGTTCATCAACTCTCAATAGTGTTTTTCCTTTTTATAATTCTATGAAAAAAATTCATAACAAAATAAGAGTAACAAAAGTTAATATACCGTGTATTTTTAATTCTCAAAGTAGTTATTTAAAATGTAAGGCATAAACTGAAAGTATTCTTGTGAAAAAGAAATGAATAAATAGTAACTCAAAAGTTTGTTTTTCAATGATCTAAGATAAATTAGCATATAAAGTGATCATTAGCATTTATATTAGGATATATAATTAGCATATAAAATATGCTTGAAACAGTGAAATATGTAATTTAAGGAAGTAGTTAAACTTTCTTTGCCTTCTTTTTGCAGTGCACCTCCTGCCCCACTCGCCCTGCCTCTGCGATCTGGTTCTGATTTTTCTTAGGACGGCCGACCCTGCTAAGGGTCTTACATAGCTGGACCACAGCTGGCCCTGGCCTGTGTGGACAGTCTCACCTCATCACAGGCCCTCGGCGCTCCCAGCCCACACTGAGCTCCCGAGCTGTCCTCTGCCCTGCGTATTTCCGCAAGGAACCAGTCGCCCCGCCGTTGCTTTCAGCGCATCCGCTGTCTCGCTTATCCGCGGCTCCAGCGCGCAGGCTCCGCAGCCCTGGAGGCCAGCGCTGAGCGACGCCTGCTGCGGTTCTGCGCTGTGGCCACCAGAGGGCGGAGCGGCCCAGGGTCCCCGGAGAGGGGAGACTTGGGGCCACAGGGGAGCGCTCTGCGGGGCTTTCGAGGCTCCAGGCTGCGGAGTGCCGGGCGATCTGACTGTTCCCACCCGTGCTCGGCTCGGTTTCTCCTGGGCTGGGGGAGAGCGTCGCGCTCCTGCAGAGCCGCCCCTTGAGTCCTGCCAGGCCTTCTTCAGAACTGGAGCCACTCTTCCCGGTTTCCTGCTCTGGAAGACCGAGGGCCTGGAGGCGAGGCCAAGACGCAGCTGCTAAGCCTGCCCTGCCGCCGCACCCCACCGCACGCCTGCTTCAAGCCCAGGGTGTCCCTACATGCATGCCAGGGGCGACAAGGAATGGACGCCCGGGAAGGGGCTCTAGCGGAGGAGTGAGGCACGTGACTGAGCAGGAAGGCCTAGACCAAGCGCCTGAAGGAGTGGACAACGGCTGCGGGAGGCAGCAGCGTAGCTCCAGGTCCCCACTGCCTCCTACAGAGGAACACAGACTCCTCAGAAGCCCAGCGATTAGCTGCACCCCAGGGAGCTTGCACCCAGCAGCTCCCACTCCAGATCCAGCCACCCTGGAAAAACCCTACCTGAGACTGTGGGAGGCTTTGGGGGGCCATCTTGCACAAGCCAGTACCCCCTTCCCTCAGCTAACACACATCCCTTTATGCAAAAGGCATTTAGTCCATCTCCAAGAGTTGCCAAAGGCCTGTCAGTGCCAGCGTTGCTGAAAAGTTCAAGTCCAAAGTCTTCTCTGAGATGTAAGGCAATTTAAGCTATGAGCCCTGTTTTAAAAAAAACTGTCAAAAGAAAGTTAAATACCGAGGACATACAAAGGCACTGTTCCCGTTCCAAAAAGGAGAAATAGGATAGAAAAGAATGGGACCAAAGTGAGACTGAAACCCCATAGTTTCCTGTCCAGGACCCAGGGCCGGCCTGGTGAGCTGTGAACTCCAAAGGGCTTGGGGCCCCCTGCAGCACGGCATGTGGTTGGAGGTCTCAGGTTTCTCTCTTGGGCTGGCTTTGCTTCCTCAGAAGATCCACCTTCTGGACTTCTCCAAGCTTTTGGGGTCTGTGCTGCACCTTCAGCCTCATGCTCACAGCTGCACACACTGCCAGGCCTCCCAGGCCTTCTTCTGAAATCTGGGCAGAAGCCTTCCTGACACCACAACTCTTGCATTCTGCATGGGCTTAAGACCAATGCTGCCTGGATGACAGCAGTAGTCAAGCTGTTTTCCATCTTGCAGAGGCCTTTAAGGGCCTGGATAGCTGAGTGTGGTGGAACAAATCCCAGGAAAGTGAATTCCAAGAAATTAAAGGAAAAACTTTAAGAATTACATTAAAATACTCTGAGACATCTGGCCCAGAAAAGATACTGCAGACTAGTTTCTCCCTGTTCCATCCCACTGAGTACCACTATGAACCCTGGAGTAGTGCAAGGGGCAAAAAGGAAACGGTCAGAGAAGAAGAATAGGGCTGGTGAGGGGCACTGGAGCTGGGAGGTCCACAGAGTGCAGGGAGGCTCCCCAGCTCCCACCAGAGGGAAGAGGCCCAGCACTTCCCAATTCTAGGCCTCACACAGAAGGTGGCCCAGGGAGACCCTGTCCACCTCTGGATTTGAGAAGACACGGGGGATAGCACCAGCTAAGCTGAGCTGTGCACAAGAGAATTGATCAGGAGCCCAGCCAACGGGAAGTGGTCAAGAAAAGGGCCCTCTTTAAAAAAGAAAAGAGCCCTCTTTCTTCTCTGGATCTGAAGCTTCCCTCACCCACAGAGAAACACTGATCAGGAAACGGCAGGATTTAAACTGCATGCTGGGTAATAGCATGTGCCTAAAGTCACTCTAGAGGCTGGACCAAGTGGATTGTGAGCTCAAGGCCATCCTGGGCAACTTCAGTGAGATTCTGTCTCAAAAAATCATTACACTAATGTAAGATACATATACATGTATATGTCTATATAAATTGGGTGGACTCAGTACTCAAATGAAGAAGATAGAAGATAAAATCAGTGAACTTGAGAACAGAACTCATCAAATCTGAGCAGCGGAGATGAAATATACTCAAAACAAAAATGAAACACAAACATTCAAATATCTGTGGGACACTAACAAAATTCAGCATTTTGGGCTGGTGAGGGAGCCTGTGAGAGATTGCTTGCCTAGCAGGAGTGAGCCCTGGGTTTGACTCCCAAATCCTGAAAAAAAAAATCTAATGTTTGTTATTATTAGAGTATGACAAGGAAGAGAGAGAAAGAGACAGACAGACTGACTGAAAGATTACTCACGGTAGCAATATATAAAAAGAATCACCACCACTAAGCTGGGTTTATTGTGGATATGCACAGTGGGTTAACACTTGAAAAATCAATCAGCATAATCCATGTCATTAACAGTCTAAAGAAATAGTCTCATCAGTGGACATAGGAAAAGCATTTAACAAAATTTAACACCCATTTATGATTAAATAACTCTTAAGAGAAGAGGGGCAACTACCTCAAATTGACACACAACATCTCCAAAAACCCTACACTAAACCTAAAGGTAAAAGACTGAGTGTTAATTATACGGCATAACTGAAGGTTTCTGAACCAGGGCTGGTGAGTAAGGTTTATTTTGTGGATTCCCTGCTTCCCTCTCTGAGGTGATGAGGGCCCAGACTCACCTGCAGTAGGGGACCTGTGTGCTTCCTGGTAGAGAGGGGAGGCAGGATCCCCCGACACGTTTACGTCCTTTTAGTTTAATGAGAAGGAGACAACTTGTCTTGTGTCTGCTTCTGCTCAGTTGCCTTTGGCGCTGAACAGCTCTCACGCCAGGTGGCACGTTTTACACATTCTGCAGTCCTTCAGGAGTCCCTGGGGTGCCAGGGACAACTGAGCAGCAGAAAGGAAGGGAGACGGCGTTGGCACCCTCTCACGTCACTGTGACACCCAAGCCCCGGGATGAAGCGAAGACCGTAAGGCCTCCAGGAGGTAAGAATCGTGTCCCTTCATGGTGACAAAGATTATCTTCTCAACTCGGATCCTTCTGAGCTCTTTTTCTCAAAGTATGCCTTGATGTTTGGATTTCCATGTTCATTTCTGCCTTGTTCAGTTTTAGGAAGAATCTTATAAAGCTGATTTACAGCAGAATTCCCACTGCTCACATCTGTCACCTTCACCTCCAGGTGCTGACTGGTCACCCTGGAAAGAAATCTGTTGGATTGCTTCAGGCCAATCCCTTCCCCTCAGCTCCCCCTTAGAGGTTTCTGCCCTCTGGACCATCAAACAAAGAAACAAACTGATTTCTAAATTCCCTCAGTTTTACAGATACTTAAGACAGAAGCTGATTCATTATATCCAATAGATTCATTATATCCAATAGGGGCCTCAGGAATTATGGCTTAATTCTGCTAGGAAACCTTCATTGGGAAAGCTTTAAAAAAATAGCAAGTTGTTAGACACAGTTGCAACATATATGTTGTTTTTATCCCTAAAATGCAAAGTTCTCAAGCACAAATAAAACATTATATTGGCATACAAAGACACAAATAACTCAGAAGCAATGCAGAAAAGAAAAACAATGTATAAATTGCATATAAACATGAAGCTATTTTGAGTCCTACTAGCAATTAATGATAAAGTTAAAATAAGCAAAAAAGAGACATCGTTGTCAGGTAACATTGCCAAAAATGGCCCAGGGTAAAGAGGACGAATTGAAACCAACACTCGGGTTCTTTCCGCAGAGTGCAGACTGGCACAGTCACCTCAGCGTCACAGGAGTCTTGTTCTGGGACCTCCGAAAGTCCAGAGATTCTCAAGTCCCTTGTGTTTTAGGCCATATTTGCATGTACCTAAGACCTAAGCATGTTCTTAGGGATGCTTTTTTACTGCGAGACAGAGTCTCACCAAGTCCTTACGCTGCCGGCTTAACAGGCTGAGCTTGTGCTCCTCCTGCCTCAGCCACCCAGTACTGGGATGACAGATGTGTGCCGCCACCGCACTCAGCTTCTTTACGCGTTGTTCGAGCCATGGGAGAGTCAGCCCTTGATGCTCACATTTGCAAAGGTCTGTGGGAAGCGGGGTAGGGTGCGGTTAAGGAAAACAATGAAGGCGATGCCTCACAAAACCCAGAAATGCCGGAGTCTGCGGAAGGGAAGATGGCACTCGGCAGCCAGCTCTGGAGCGGGGTGAGCACTGCGGCGGGTGCGATGGGACGCGTGGGTGATGAGCGCGGGCTGCACAGGCGGCCTGCACGTCATGAGCTCAGCTAGTGACAGCCGAGGTGAAGTTTGCCAGCTGGGGTCTCAGGGAACGAGGCCCCTCGAGCCACCTCCACTCGCCAGCCGCAGGCGGGCTCCAGGAAAGTCCCCTCCGCAGCCCCTCTCCAGCCTTCTTGCCTGTCTGTCTCTCTCACTGGTTCACCTCCCCAGATTCTTTCGGTGCGCTGCCTGGATGAGAATCCCCGAGTGCCCCCATTTGTAGATTTCTAGTATCTGAGCTGCCCCTCAGCTGTTTCGGACTTCGCCCTCAGGAGGACAGGGACCACCCACATTTGTTTCCCGAGGGATGCGGGCTGCAGATGGCCTCTCCTTGTACCTGTCTGACCTTAGTTCCAAGACTTGGGTGGCTCGAGGCCGAGGGGGAGCACCGGCGGGGGTGCAGGGTAGGGCAGGTGAGCCGCGGGGGCCGGGTGCAGTGCGGGGTACCAGTCCTCAGGCTGGGGCGGCAGGGCGAACGGGCCACCCGCGGAGGACTGGGGGGGCAGGGCGTGGTTGTAGGGGTGAGGGAAGCAGGTCACGGGGGGCGGGGGTGCTGGGTAGGAGTAGGGACAAGCTGGGGACTCGGGCAAGAGCCCCGTGAAGGCAGCAGGCGGCAGGCGGGCCAGGGGCTGGAGCAGTGCGCGCTCTTGCTTGCGCTGCTTAGCTCTTCGGTTCTGGAACCAGACCTGGGGAGGGCGGAAGGCCGCGTCAGACTTCCTGCGCCCCAGAGGTGCAGCCCCTCCTCCAGGGGCAGGAGCCCCGGGCCAGGCAGGAGGCCTTGCCCCACCCGGAGGAAGGGCAGCTCTTCCAGAGGCTTGGCCGAGCGGGCAGCGGACAGAGAGACTTGAGCCCTCACCCCAGCCTGCATCTCTGTTCTCCCTGTTTCTCAACTTTGGGTGTTAAGAGATGTCACGTCCCAAACAGAAAGGGACAAATAAGACACAGAGGTGTCTTTGCTCCCCAGGTGATGGGAAAGTGCTGGGGACTTGGGTTTAGCAAAGAAGACCACACACAGGTGTAACTGTTACAGACAGGGGCGGGTCGCAGTGGAGGGTCCGCTTCAGGCTAACTAGGGCTGGGACCGGGGAGTGTGTGGCTGGACCGGGACCAGCGAAGGGCTTGTGTCTGTGCGAACAGTCGGGGCTGTGTTCTGGGTGGCCTTCATGTCCATGTTAAAGGCTGGGGGAAGGCGTTGAAATCCAAGGTGGATCTGCTTAGAGCTAAAGTTAAACTCAGTGATATTCACAGTACAGGTGAGGCTGTGTTGACTGTTGGACCAAGCTTAAGGTCTGGTGAACATTTAGCTTAGAACTGGAAATCGCGAGATGATTTAAGCCCAGGCAAGTCCTCGACTGCCAAAGAAAGCTGCCTTTGCTGCCTGGGCTGGAGGTGGGGGGAGGGTTCGGGGCATCACCTGGATTCTGGCCTCACTGAGACCTGTGTCCCGGGCGAGGCCCTCTCGGGCCCAGATGTCAGGGTACTGGCTGCTGCTGAAGGCCAACTCCAGCTGCTCCAGCTGCGCAGGGGTGAAGGTGGTGCGGTGGCGGCGGCGGCGGGGGTGCGGGAGACCATGTTGTCCTCCTTGTGGAGAGAGCCCCAGCCTGCCCACTCCGGGCCCCAGCAGCCTCCTGGGGGGCTGAGCGCTGGGGCCTGGGGAGGAGGGCGAGGGAGGGTGAGGTGGTCAGGAGGGACCTGCACCTGTCGCTGTGCCCTGGTGAGCTGCTGTGTCCTGCTCAGGCCCCTCTGCACCCCACCTGGCTTCCTGCTCCTGGAGGAAACTCCTCCGCTTTGATGCCTGGGACCCCCACACCCGGCGTAGTCTCCATCAGCACTTTTCCTCCAGTCCCCTAAAGCCGGCTGGGTCACCCTGCAAGCCCAGTTCCTCCAGAGGACCCGCGCTCCTTCCGAATGCCTTTCACATCTGAGCTCCTGCGTGACCCACCCTAAAGCCCCTGTGGGTTTTCTGTCCCTTGCAGGCCTCAGTGAGCTTTCTAGATCTCCCCTGGAGGTGCCCGTGGCTTTCTCTGTACGGCTCCCACCCTTCTCCACCTCACTTGGGCGGGCGAAGCATCCCCTGCCCTGTCCTGCCTCCCTCTCACACACCCTCTCCTCACGTGTGCGCTTTTTGTCCTGGTGGCCTGGCCACCAGGCTGCAGGAATCTGAGCTCGTGGGAAAGGCTCACTTCTCCTCCAGCGGGCTCACCAAGCCCCCACACTAATTAGTCTGAGAGCCGCTCTCAGGCAAGGCAGCAGGGTGGGCAGAGGAAACCCCTGGGAAGGTGCACTCTGAGAGCAGGGCTGTCTGGAGCCCAGGCACCTCCCCCTGGGGACCTGCGGGGGGGGGGGGCTGCTGCTCCGGCCCAGCGTCCGTCCTGGGGACAGACTTGCGTGGAGTTGCCTTTCCGCAGCCCACCACAGCAGCAGCCCCTGAGTGCACGGACCCTGAGTTAGGAGTGGAGGGAGACTCCAGGGGCACACCCCAGGGTCCCCACTCCCAATCTGCAGAGCAAGGGGGCTGCTGGGTGTTTCCTGTGTTTTCTGAGAGTGGCTGCCTTACTATGCTGAGATGCTGTTTTGTTTCTCCCCTTAGCCTTGCTCACAGTGAGCCACCCCAGAGGAGATGAGGCACTGAGCCCCACCCTGCACCCCTGCAGGGAGCCCAGCCCCCTGGGGTGCACTCACCTCCTGTGGAGGCCAGAGGTCCAGCTGCAGGGCACTGCTCGGGCCAGAGGATTCCACATGCTCGTCCTCTCTTGTGCTTACCCTGCTGGCTCCTCCCTTCATCTTCCATGGCTGGCCAAGGCCAAAGATTGCCCGGGCCTGCTCCAGGCAATCCTGTGTTTCTGCTGGTCCCTTGATGATCTCTCCTCCTGCCTCTGTTTATCCTTGTTTCCGAGTCCGAATCTCTGACTCCCGTGTTTGTGCGTGTGTGTAGATGTGTAGCTGTAGGTACACACAGCTCTCTGTCCCCTTCACCGTCTCTCCCTTTTCTCTAGTTTCCCCCCAGCTCCCCATTCCTTTGCTGGAGCATCTTCTCCTTCTGTCCGTCTCAACTTTACCTGTTTCTGTGTGTGTCTCTGCTGTTCCCTCTCTGTCCCTTCTCCCTGGCAGGTGCTCTCTCTTTTCTGCCAGCTGCCTATTTTCCCACTCCGCCCCTCAGTCCGAGCCCGCTAGTCACCTCAGGGCCCGTCCAATCACTACCTGGTCACCAGAGCCCTTGCTTAGGCGATGATCCCAAGCCGGACAGGGGAAGGTGTTCGGTCGGAGGGTCCAGGGACTGGGGCCAAGAGCTCGGGTTCCCAGGGGACCAGATTCTTTTGTCTCCTTAAATCCTCTCCTGGGAACAGGCAGGCAAAGGAGGGGAGAATGAATTCCTCCTAAGACTCCCCTCTTCAAGACCCCACTGTGGGAAGGGGACAAGTTGGGAGCCAGAAGCACAACCTTTCTGGCATCTCAGCATGTAGGTGACACCCGAGAGCCTGTTTCCAGGAAACTGAAAAACAGAAAGTCAGTGCGTGCTCTCCTCCCAAACCCAAGGACAACTCACCCTGTACCAGCGTGCCTTTCCCCACCAGGAAAGCCTGCACTCAGTCCGTAGGGTGCGCCCACGCAATCTGTAACTTCTCACATACTCTCTGATTTTTCCACCATCGTCCAGAACCCCTAGCACATCGTGACCTTTCAAGGTCACTGCACCTTAAGGAAACTCTGATTCTCAAAAGCATCTTAATTCTGGGTTTATCCTGGCCCACTCAAACCTCAGTTAATTCATGGAACTATGTCCTTAGGATGCTGGACACATCACCATGATGTGCTGGACACATTCATGGAACTATGTCCTTAGGATGCTGGACAACTCTCAGCACATCACCTTGAAGGGAATCTCTGCTTCTGACACCTGTGTAACCCTGGAGGGACACCCCAAGGTTCCACGCAAAGGACAGTCACCCCTGAGGCTTCTAGGTACCCATCCTGAGCACTACTCATGCTGAGTAACAAATCACTAAAAAATTAGGTTGAGGAACGAGGCAAGGCCTAGAGTTCAGAGTTGAGGGAGGACGAGGGAGGGAATTAAGCTAGGACAGAGGAAGAATGACCAAAACATGGCCTTGACCAAAGACCTGAGGACAGAGTGGGGATCATTCTGGAATCATTGGTTACTAGTTCTGCGAAGCTTTGTGTTTGTCAGTAGTCATTTGGAGTCATGCAAAGCAAGTGACTCCATGGAAGGTCATCTCTAAAGTCCTCTGAAATTCCCAGACCATGATTACCTCTAATGGAGGACCCCCGGACTAGCAAAAAACAGACATCCAAATATATGTGATACTTGGTTGTTCTTGTACCTTAAAATCAGCCAATTTTATAGATAGCAAATTGCTCTTTTTATGACTGAGCAGCTGTCAGCATCAAACTGAAAACATGATCATTGCCATTGTCAATGATTAAAGGAAGTTGTACACATATCTGAGCTCCAGTGTTTCTGGTTCTACAAATGAAGAAATTCATAATGTCCAACAGTCCTTCTAGCTCTAAAAGTTCCTAATCCTGTGACCTGAAAAGTAGCTTCCTTAGGGCAGCTCTCATGTCAGAATTCCTCAGGCTGTAGATGAAGGGATTGACCAGTGGTGTCGCCACTGTGAAGATGACAGAGGCCACCCTGTCGTGCACTGAGTAGGAGGATGAAGGGTGCATGTAGACCCCCAGGATTGCCTCATAGAAGAGGGAGACCACGGTGAGGTGGGACCCACAGGTGGAGAGGGCTTTCCTTATCCCCTGGGCTGAGGAGAACTTCAGTACCTTAGAGAAGGTGCACACATATGAAACCACAATGCACGTAAATGGCGTCAGAAATATCAACCCACCCTCAGTGAAGGCCATCAGGTTATTGATAAAGGTGTCAGAACAAGAGAGCTTCAGGACAGCATACAGGTCACAGAAGAAGTGGTAGACTGTGTTACTGGAGCAAAAGTTGAGTCGAACCATGAGCAGAGTGTGCAGGAGAGCATGCAGGTTCACTGTGACCCAAGAGATGGCCACCAGGAGGACACAGAGTTTGGGCCTCATGATCATGGTGTAGTGGAGAGGCTGACAGATGGCCACGTAACGGTCATAGGCCATCACACTCAGGAGGAACCCGTCCATGTTGGCAAAAGTAAGGAAGAAGTAGGTCTGGGTCATGCACTGCACATAAGAGATGGACTTGCTCCCCACTACGTGACTGACCAGCATCTTGGGGACTGTGACTGATGAGAAGCAGATGTCGACACTGGAGAGGTTGGCCAGGAAGAAGTACATGGGTGTATGGAGCCGAGGGTCACAGCTGATGGCCAGGATGATGAGCAGGTTCCCGCTGAGGGTGACCAGGTACAGGCCCAGGAAGAGCCCGCAGAGAACCACTTCCTGCTCTGCGTGGGCAGACAGCCCCAGGAGGAGGAATTCTGTGACTGTGGTGTCGTTGAACCCACCCATGTCTGTGGGGCAGAAAATATATCGTATGAGATCATATGTTAGCATTTGAGCAACAACATACACTTTGGAGGAATTGTCCATTGGTGAACAATCAGTTATTGTGCGTGTAAGTTTAAAGGCAGTGCCTAGTATCAGCAGTGCTTGGTTACCAAGTGTTATGGTGTTATTGATTCCACTCTTTTCTGAGGTAAGAAGTAGTTATTTTGCAATGCAAGATTTAACTTATTTTAAACAATGAGTTGTTGCAGTCACTTTATAGGTGAAGAAACTGGGGGTGTGGAGAAACCTCCCTATGCCACTCAGGCTGGCCTGGAACTTCTGGGCTCAAGCGATTCTCCCCCAGCAGCCTCCCCCCAGCAGCCTCCCAGGGAGCTGGGACCACACACAGGGGATTGAATGTGATTGGCTGCTGGTTATTGAAAGCTTCCCTTTCCTGGGTTTGGTGGTGTTGGGAAGGAACCCAGGGCCTTATGCTGGTGACACCTGTGCCACCCCCTCAGCTCCCTGCTCCCTGCTCCACATACTGAAAACACAGCCAGTGACAACATCTACCTAAGCGCCACACTGTCGAAATGGAAACATTTCCTGTGGCATTGTAATTTTTCCAGAATTTGAAAATTGTGCTGTTTGCTCCTTTGGTGTAGCAATTTAAATCCAGCTGGTGCAATATTTGGCAGGAGCCTGTGGGGTCAGCGCAACTTCCCCTGCCCTGTCAGTGCTGTGCCTGGTCCCATCCCTGAGAAAATGGAGCTGCGTTTTCACTGTTTCCTTGGAGGAATGTTACCCTTACTGAAGTGTATTTCATCATCACATCTTTCTGGGCACAAGATCTATCATGTCTCTGGCTGCAGGACGCTGCTGTGGTCACCCTGTCATGTGCACCTGCTTCCTGCTCAGTGCAGGGGACTCCAGGTGACAACAGATGAGTTTGCTGCCTGCTGCATCAGCTGCAATCTACGTTCTCATGTATTCTTTACTAGTGTTTTTTCAAAACAAATGTGTATGGTTTGTCTCAAATATCAACTTACTTTGGATACATGGTGGTGGCAGTATTAACAATGCGTTGGGGGAAATAGTTACAGGGGAACAAACACCTTTGTCCAAAAAACTTGGTACTAATTTAGCATTGAGAGACCCAAGCAAACCTGGGCTCCCTTTCAATTTCTCTTTCAAAGGGTTGGAACTTGCACAACAAACAGTGCAAGAGACTTGGGCTTAGCACTGGGGCTCTGTGGGTGTCTCTTTCACGGGTGGTTTAAGGTAAAACATCTGGTTCCACTGAGCCTGGTTCTCACTGACCGATTCCTTCAGCTCTTCACACAGTCACTTGGATGGACACAGGAGGCATCATCACAGAGCCTGGCTGCTCTTCCCCACACCAGCTCATTAAAGATGAACTGCACCGAAAACTCTCTTCAGTGAAGGGGCAAATTGTTTATTTAGAGCATTTGTTGTGATAAAATAAATAAATGGAACTTAGATGCTAAAATATGACAAGAAGACAAATCTTCCTGGCCCTTGGTGTTTCTATGTTATTGAAGAATGATTTTCAAGGGCTGGGGATTTAGCTCAGTGGCATAATTGCCTGCTTTGCAAGCAGGCAGTCGTGAGTTTGATCCCCGGTACCGATAAAAAGGAAAAAGCAAAAAAAAAAAAAAAAAAAAAAAAAAAAAAAAAAAAAGAATGATTTTCCAGAAAAGTGAGTTTTTCTTCATTTTTACTGTCATTGTCAATCTATTCTGAGATAATTTTATGTATTGAACTTGGATTGTTTTTGACAGCTTTTTTTCAGATCAACTGCATTTGTTTTAAGTATTCAGTTTTTTGTGTAATATATCTATTGTCATTTTAGTTGGTTGGAACAACTTTCCTTTTGTTTATCTTTAATTATCCTGTTATATCTTAATTCCATCCAAAGAAGAGACACTTAGAAGACTGAAATGTCCTATTAACAACGTAATTTACCATACTGTTAGAAATAAAAAAAATGTTAAATAGGGAAGATATTTGCTATTATTAAACATTTTGAGGTTTGGATAAAGTACATTTTAACTGAATGTCTACAGTGATTATTATTTTCCTCACATGTCAGTCTTGCATATTTTTGGGGTTTGAATGAAGGCTTTATGTAACAATTTATTAAAACAGAGGGGATAGATGATAAATGCATATAATATTAAATCCTGTAATGTAAGTGTGGATTCCCAGGTGCATTTGAAGGCCCAGATTGACAGAGGAGGACTTTTTTCCTGATGGTGATTGCCATAGACATGTGAGGATTTGTGTGGGTTTACGTCTTGCCTACCACTGCATGAAACATTGGGGTTTTTCCCATTGTGTGTGTCATACTGTTTGGGGGAGGGAAGTTGTTTTCTTCTGTTTCTTTTCTGCAAGTCCTACAGGGAGTAAATCTGTACTTTAGAAACATTTAATCATATTTATCCTGTCTGGGATGCATAAGTAACATCTGAAGCATTACTGCTTTAGAATGTTCAAATAAAATCTCCTGACCAAAGAGGTTTTTGGAAATAGATGTGTTTACAATTTGAAGATACCTTTCAAACAGCAACTAAAAGAATGGCACCCAAAGACCCAGTACTGCGAAATCAAAGGACACAGAGAACAGATCCAGGGAAAGCAGCGGCACCAAGGGGCAGAACAGGGCCAGGACAGGAGGGGCTGACCTGTGTGCAGAGGACTTTCATAGGAGGACGGTGGCATGGAGCTGTTGGCTTTGGGCTTCTGGTCAACCTCAGGACGAGCCTCCACTCTCTTCCTGTCACCACTCTCAGTGTTTAGGTGTATAATGGCCCCAAAGACCCCTGTGGTTGGAAGGTGACGGGGTTATACGGGTGCTTTTGTTGACTTCCTGTTAGGAGGTGAGGTCTGGGGCCATAACCCACGAGCGTTTATCTCTCTTCCTGCCTCCTCTTTCTGCCCTCTGGTCACCAGGAAGTGGGCAGCTGTCCTCCACAGGCTATTCATCCTTGCCTTTGTGTATTGCATCTGGCCATCCATGGACTAAAAAAGTGGGCCAAAATAAGTTCCTCCTTTGACTTGTAAATATTTGGTATTTTGTCGCAGTGATGAGGAAGGTGACAAAGAACCTCTCAGCCTAGTCGGCTTCTTCACTTCCCCCCACTGCTTAGTTTTCTATTCCCATCTTGGAGCTGGGCCTGCTCTCCTCTGAAGTGGGCAGCGCTGCCTGACGGCAAAGGCTTCTGAGCCTCGGGCCGAGCCACAGCTGCCCTTTGCCCGAGGATAGATGCAGAGGGATTTAAGGCCCTGGTTTTCCTAAGGTCACCCTGCCCCTTGGTGTCCAGCCTGTGTAGGAGGGCCTGTGCCCTCGCCTGCTTCCCGGCCCCTTACCTGCTGCCATCTGCCTCTATCAGAAGCTCGCATGGAGTCCCCGCCTCTGCTGGCTCCCTGCTGGACCTGGATGAGGGGAGACTTAGGACAGGGACTGAGACCTGGGAGACCTCACCTCAGACTGGGTGAGACATTAACACTGTGTCTCTCCCCGGGGCCAGGCTGGAGGATTGGGATCCAAGGAGCATATCCTCCCTCCTGGATTCAGGGTTTCCATGGGCACTGTTGCTAATTCAAGGTGCCCCCAGGGTGGATCCCTCAGAGGTCTTCATTAGGCAGATGTTTTCCTTGTTTGCATTCTGCAAGGACACAGAAAATAGGATGTGCAGAATTCAGTTCTTATGCAATAGCTTTGAGGAATTGTGACTGTGCCACCTCCCTTTTCCGGACTGTTTTTCCTCTCAGAAATCAATGAGGGAGGACACCAGAGCTTTCCGGAATGGAAAATACTTAACACCCAGAAACATTTTACCAGTGTAAAATGCGTGAAAGCTATAATAAATACAAAAGTTCATAGATAAAACTCTCCTAAACAGAACAATTTTACTAAGTCTGTACTATTGTTGGATTACTAATGTGTACCTCAGAAGGTAACCACTGCAGTAATCCAAAATGAATAGTGATGATTAAAGATTTGAATGTCTTTCTTTTTTTCTTTTTTTTTTTTTTTTGTCTTTTTCCTTTTTATCGGTACCAGGGATCAAACTCACGACTGCCTGCTTGCAAGGCAGGCACTTATGCTGCTGAGCTAAATCCCCAGCCCCGAAGATTTGAATTTCTAAAAGAAAAGCATGATTTAAAAATTTCAAATGAGCGTACTCATTGAAATTTATATGTATATTTTCACTTGCACCATATATCTGCAAAATAATTATACATAATTATATATTTCCATTAAGCTTAGTGCCTCTTGACTAACAGTGAGAATCTGCTTATAGGGAAATACTTTAAAATTCTCCGAAATACACACCATAGATAATGAAATTGGATACTAACCAATATAACACTGAGAACAAATGTTAGTTTTAAAATAGCTGTCTCCCAAGAGAAGTCTCTTTCCCAGGGTGGCCAGTGCAGGCAGAGAGAACCAGCAGATCTGCCTCCACCTGTAGGGAGCTGCCACTAGAAGGCTCCTTCCTGCAGGCAGCCAGCAGGAGCAGGGACACAAAGCCAAGTAAGCTCTGGGCACCTGTAGGCCACCACTGAGGTCCTTGGTTCCTTTGAGAAGCCACCACCCACTGCCAGAATCAGACAAACTCACCCCTGTGTGTCTGCCACCATTGCGGTTGTCCCATTGTAGACACACAGGCTGAGAGAAGCAGCCCCACCTCCAAGCACCCTTGATCATCAGGGAAGCCCGAGTGTAGCTGCACAGGTCTGGAGAAGCCTGCTCCATGCCCTGCTACCTCCCTGTAAATCTGGGGTTAGAGGAACCCAGTGCCTGTCCAATCACCCTATGCAGTTGAGGGGCAGCCAACATGGGAAATGCATTGGGCCCCACAACCAGCTGTTGGGAGGACCCACAATGTCAAGATGAAGGAGCAAAAGGCAATCTCAGACCTCTAGCCCACATAGAAGAAGTCTGAGAGGGACAGTCATGGAAAAAATTGGAAGTCACACACCTGAGATCTCTGAGAGGATGGAAACTGAATTATGGAAATAACTTCATGAATTATAAAAGCAATCAAATCAGAAATAACATCTCATGTAAAAGAAGAAATCACAAACATATTGTTGTAGACAGGGGTTGGTGCAGAGAACAATTAGAATCAGGACATAGAATTTATAATATTATTTCTGATGGTCACCCAGAGTTGAACACAAGAAAGGGCAGGAAATCTGTCCACAATACTAAAAACCTGGAATATTTAGCTAAGGACCTGGATCCCACAGCAATATCCTGCACGAGTGCAGATGAAAACCGAGAGCCCATGACAATGCCTCACACAAGTCTAACTGGAGATCTAGAGCCCATGAGAATGACTCAGAGCAGTGTATTTTATGGATCCATGCTGGGAAGGCCCAAAGATCAGTGATGGAAGCTAGAAAGTCTATCCTAGTGGTGTGAGGAACGTGATGGTAGGTTAAGGGTTCTACACTGGAGCCAAGAAGTCATGCTCAAAATAAGACCAGGACTGTCCTGAAAAGCACCACAGCCATCCTCAGTGACTAGGAGGCCACGAGCTCCTCCAACAATAATAACACTTAAGTACATGCCAGAAAGCCAGCATGATGAACTTGTCCTGGAGATTAAATGGCACACATCTTCCCCTCCGTATCCAGGAAACAATGCTTGATGTAAGGACCAGAGATCCCCCAAAGTGAACCACAGCCACTCTCACCAACAAGGTCCTGAGCCCCTTCAATGACTATGGTCAAACTCACACTGAGAAGCTAGTCATGATGAGCTCTTCCAGGAGAACCAATGGCGCAAACAGCAACATGTAGGAGAACCCACGCCTCCCTCATCTTCTTCATGTCTGTATTTATGCTGGTATCTTTTCTCAGGTGAAACATCTACACTCAGCACCACGCTGATTTAATTCAGCTAGTGCTAAGTTGACCACCAGTTTTTAGTCCATAATGGCAACTCAAAGAATTGTTCAGTAGGTGTAAAGAAGACATAGACAATAAAGAGGAACATAGAAAAATGATGGAAACCTTGAATTAATATTGAAATGAATTACAATGCATGAAACAGATTCAAAGAGACATCTAGGAAATTAAATATTCAATCAAAAGCTGGCAAAACTGCTTGAAAGAAACTGAAGATGGACTTTCAAACCCTGAAGATAGGCTTGCACTAGTGATCATGAAGGAAAGTTCTCTCAAAGACAACATGGAATCAGGAAATAACAACTCAATAAGAGTGACAGGTGTTGCTGAAGAAGCAGGGTCAACACAAATGAAAGAAAAAGGCTACTTATAGAAGTAATAGAAGAAAACTTCCCAAACATGGGAAATGGATCTGGCATGCGGATAATTGAGGCATGTAGGACTCCAGCTAGCCACAACCAAAGTAAATCACACCCAGACATAGTAATCAAGATCCCAGAAATCAGCACAAGAATAGCATATAAAAGCTGTTAGATAAAAGAAACACACCACTTATAAGGGAAAACCAATCAGAAGTACAGCAGATTTATCAACACAAATCATAAAGTCAAGAAGAGTTTGGAGTGAAGTGTTTCAAACCCTGAAAGAAAACAACTTCCAACCCAGATTGATCCACCCAGAAAAACTATCTTTCAAAATTGATGGAAAAATAAGATACTTGAGTGATAAAGAACAACGGAAGGAATTCATGACTACCAAGCCAGCCCTACAGAGAGTGCTAAAGTCCTAGAGAGAGACAAAGCTGACCACGGTTCCAGGAACAGCAGAGGAGGATCACCAAACAGGACAGGCAATTGGATGAAGGGGAAAAGTGGAGGGCCAACAACAGGAGGACAGCAGCGCAGAGACAAATCAATGCTGGTTGTAACCATCCATTTATGTAGAGACATCAGGTCAGCAATAAAAAGAAACCCAGGGAGAGTGGATCAAGAAACAGGATCCATTGATACATTGTACACAAGAAACTCATTTAACTGGAAAGGAAATTCATAGACTGAAAATCACAGGAAAGAAAACAATTATTCCATGTGATGGGAGACCAAAGAAAGCTAAAAGTAACTTGCCCATCAACTGCAGAATGGATAAGAAAGACATGGTATTTCCATGCAGTGGAAAACTATGCAGCTATAAAGTGGAATAATCTCAAGGTTCCTGTAGGTAAATGGATCCAACTGGAGACCATGTTAATGGGTGAAACAGTCTGAACTCATACACATGAACCCTAGCATAAGAAACAGAAAGAGCTAAAGGGATCCAAAAGCAAAATAGTTATTTTTAAACTGAAACTTTTAATTTTTCTATTTTCTTTTAAAAAGAAAAAAGTCAGAAAAGAAAAGCAAAAAGCAAGAGACAAACAACAAATCCAAAACCATAACAATATAGGTTTTCAAAACAGAATGAAAGAAATTTAGCAATGGTTGTTATATTGCATATTGTTCTTTTTTTCAAAGAAAGAAAAGAAAATTAAAAAAATAGAAAACCAGAAATAAATGTAGAACAATAATGAATTAAAAATATTAACATCATAAAATTGCTAGTTGATACATTATCCATTGTCTTAAAAATAGTTGCTAAAGTTACAAAATCAAAGCATAAAAAGTGACTAAACCCTCAAACATTGACAGTGCAAACCCTTCTTTTCAATGATCCAACAGAAATTCAGTAATATGATCATCTATCTTACACACTATATATACCATTATACCTTTAGAGCACTTTGCTTTCCTCTCACTTTCACAATATCTATTACTTTTTGGATCCCATTATTCTGTCAGTTTTTATTATTTTTTACACTAGAGAGACAATGTGATACTTACTAATATGAGTAT